AATTAATCAATTTTTATTATAAGTTTTACTGTGAATTTAAATGTTTTTAATAATTTAAACTGCCACCCCCGCATTTTTTGTGTCATTTTTTCTTCAACTGAAACGACTCTGTTTCCTCCAAAAAGTCATATCAAATGAAACCAAAGCATGCTGTACCTTTTTCCTATAGGATATACATTTAAAAGAGATAATAATCAAAGTATTCTCAATGTAAATTCTTCATAATTTGAAATAAAAAGAAATTGGTTTGCAATCCTTGTATGATTAAACTAAATATAACAATAAATTTTGTCTCATTGATTCCTTATGATGCAAGTTCTACTGAATGGACTCAAATTATAAAAAAAGCCTAAACCAATGGCTTTAAATGGTTTATAATCATGAACTTGCGCATATAATAATTAAGAACGAGAAAGATTCGATTTCATATTTTCCTTTTTCGATTTAAACAAAATAAATAACTATGCATATTAAAAGTCCTTCATAGCAGTTTCTGATTGCTAAGTCAACAATTATGTTTTAGATCACAAGTCATAAGTAAGTCACACTTCATGTAAGTATGAAAATGCTTTGAATAAGAGTGATTAAAATGCAAGTCTGAAAGAGATTGTTTTAAGTTCAAAGGACAACCCTTTTGCAGGATTCCTTGATTCATCACCAAAAAAAAATGATATTCCCAACAATGAATGCGTTTTGTTTTAGTCATCTTAAGGTGGTGCACAGACAGTATAAAATTTCCTTACCTTAGGTTTTAGTTAAGGATGTTCGCTACTCTGTTTTAAAATAACAAGCTTTTTAAAAGACTGTTCTAAATTTATAGTATATAAATAAAGGAACCAAAAAAGCAGAAAAAAATGAAGGGTCCGTGTGCTTGCTTTTGAGATATAAGCCATTGAAAATTTGGCGGGAAATGATTCTCTCTAGATTTTTCATACTTTTAACATTGTCCGCTTTTCTCTTTTAAAAACTATGAAAAAATAACAAGGATTTTATAAGATTTTCAAATATGGCTTTTAAAACTATATGAAATAAAATTATGAAAAGAAAAGTAGGGGTAAGTGGACAAAATTATTTAGTGGCAAAACATGGATAAAATTAGAGGATTCCGAAAATCTGGCAAAATTTCAAAAACAAGAAGAGCGAACATCCTTAACGTCAAACATTTTACTTAAATAGAATAATTAATCCAGTCAAATTTACTACAGTTGAACTCGCCATTGCTTTTTTAAACAAACACACTAAATGACACTAAATATGTGTACATTCTGTTCGGATGCATGTTGACATTGATGTGTAAAACCAAAAAAACTACAATGTCAAAAAATGTCTTTCTTTTGGAATTTAGTTAAAACGGGGTTTCAGAAGGGGTGACAGAACGTTAGACTTGATTTTTTTTTTAACTTTGAGATACGTATTATCAATTTGTTTTATAGTATAGATCTATGATCATCTAGAATCTATATAATCTTTGTTTATCTATGACAAAAGAATAAAAAATAACAGACAATTTCGAATAATTTATTATCGTAATTGTTAAAGGAAGGGCCAATTTAGGCATTATTTTCTTTAATAATAAGACACATGCTTAACATATAGAAAGAAATCTATTTCTGACCCCAATGGCATGTTAGAAATAGAAAATAAAAAAATGTCCAAATTGCCGCAAAAATATTTTTTTCCGCGAAATTAACGCAATTTCAGAATGGCGGGCTTTAATATCAGTCCCATTGTTGTCTTAAGAAAGTAGCAACAACGGTCGTTCCTAAGAGCTTGCTTTCCGACTGCATTGTTGACATTTGTATCGATAGATTGATCTCAATAGAGGTCAGATCAATAGTTCAAATTAGGTCAAATAGTTCAGTTCTGAAAAAAGTAGTCCCGGCAGAACTTATCAAGACTGCCGTCGACACCATTTTATCAACATCTCGTTTTAGAATGTAAAGTAATTTTAGGAAAAAAGAAATGGTTCATTGTAAAATATGTACTGCAAGTGTAATTTATTTTATTTAAAGAATTTATTTGGTGACTTATCACCATTACAATACAAGGCAATATGTTGGGAGAATTTGTTGATAAGTCCTGCTCACTTGATAATGTCTCCTCACTTGCACGCGCTAACTGGATACGAGTTTTACAGATATGTTGAGGAAGCTGATATAGAGGTGGGGAAGGATGATAAAATGAATTACATTGCAATGTAATTCGCCCCATGCCTGCTGCCTACTGAAGTGTCCCAAGTACAAACGGTAATTCATTTATACATCATATAAAAAAGGAAAGATGTGGTATGATTGCCAATGAGAGACAACTCACCACCAGAGACCAAATGACATAGAAGTGAACAACTATAGGTCACTGTACGGCCTTCAATAATGAGCAAAACCAATACCGCATAGTCAGCTATAAAAGGCCTCATATGACAAATGCAAAACAATTCAAACGAGAAAACTAACGGCCTGATTTATGTATAAAAACAATGAACGAAATACAAATAATACAAAGCTTCTTATCAGAAGTTTTCTCACATATTTAAACACTATGTAAATGGAATGATTATACTTGTGTATTGCGATTTTTAATACCACCCTGAAATAACATATGATTACTTCAGAGGAACTTAATGAAGCCATACTAGAAATATCCACACACAGCGCCTAAAAAAGCATATGTGCACCTAGGGTGTTCCGCTACTAATTTTGAGTTCTGGTGCTTATCCAAAAAGAAATATCGTCACTCGAGTGGAAAAGTAATTTACCTAAGCTGTATTTGGCAAAACTTTTCCGAATTTTGGGTCCTCAATGCTTTTCTCCTTTGTACTTTATTCGGCCCTTTTACTTTTTAGATTTGGGTGTCATCGAGTAATTTATAGACGAACATAGCGTAGGCTGACAAAAGTCTAGTGTCTGTTGATTTTGTTTTACAATGCATCCATTTTGGAAATCCATACAAATACAAAAAATTGTAACTTCCCCAAATCTTGAACATTATAATAAAATATTGAAGAAATACTATCATGGTTAGTCATTAACTGCTGCTCAAATTGCCCTGGACAAGTTAATATTTAAAGTTGAAAAATACAGAATTTGTTCTTCATTAACTCTCTTTTTAACACATAATATTCTATTAATAATCCCTGACAATATCGCCAAACTTGCATTTTTTTCAGTATATTCCTTTCTAAACATAAACATAAAAAATGATGGCCCATTAGACTAAAAATCAGTTGTTGACGCATTCTTTTATAAACTATTCAAAATGGACCTGATTATTTAAGGAAAACTACCTGAGTGATACACAAAAATATAGATTGGAGATCACCAAAATACTGTAGAATTTTATTAACCTTGAAAAAAAAAGAAATAAATGAAAACAAAAAGATGCATATATATATTGATTAATAAATTTTAACCTGATAATTATGAGCTTTCTCGAAGTTAAGAACTACTTTATTTAAGGAAACTAAATGCAGAACAATAAAGCATACGTTTTACCACCTTTTTACCGAGGAAAAAAATGCTGTGGCTCAATAAGACCATACATTTTCCAGCAAAAGGCCTCCAAAGGATCAAATAATATCCCCTAACGGGAATCAACTTAAGCATAAAACTAAATTAGCTAATAAAACTCATCCAGCAAAATTTGTCAAAAAGAACAGAAACTTTACACTTAATTAACCAAAGCTTTAAAATAAAAATTACATAAGTTCCATAAAGCAATGGAAATGAACATTGTATAATTATATAAACGATAATAATTGTAAAGATGGAAATAAATAAACATATAATATTGTGAGAAGGAATGTATCAATAGTTAATGTGTTCCACCAGAACCTGACATTAAGTTCGTTTAATTATGGACATTAAAACTTTCCAACAACAAATTATGTTATTTGTGACTTTCATTACTTTTTTGACAAGGAAAACTACTTAAATAAATCGTTAGAAGTATTTTGCGTTTTTGTTTAATAGCATGGGTTTTGCACACTGCTAAAACATTTCTGAGTGCATTTACAACGATCAAATCATTCATTGACTTATTGATAAAATTTTGAGTTAATATCACAACGTTGAAGGTTAATTGCACATTCTTATCAGAATGGGATTAATAATTTCAAGTTTCAGATAAAAAGGGTAAATGCAACATATAAGTGGTGCAATATATAACAACCCTGATGTAGCCCACTAGTGTTTTAATATTTATCTTTTCTTACTGAATTTATAAATATATAAACCTAATAACGATATCTGTATATACTAATCAGTTAAACTTTCTTAAGGAATTTAAATTGAACGATCCTAGAATGACAGATTTATTTAATTCTTAAACATGTATTAAGTACAGAGATTACAAGGAAATTAAAGAATCAGTGTTTGTTTCATATTTGTCAGCATAAAATAAATTAGCAGTTCTTATTGCTAAATATCTAAGAGCTGAAATTGATCTCTAGTTATTCTGACTGATTTATTTCAAAATTTCTGTGTACACGGAAAGTGCTGTTGTTTATTTTTTCAAATCAGAACAAACTGTAAATCTTAACTATTTATATATCTGTGAAAATTAAAACATTCGCCATTGTAACTTTCGGGAAAGAAAAAAAGCTTAATAAATCATGCCCTTACCATCAATTAATTTAATTAGTTTATGTCTAATAACAACTTTGATGGTAATTTATTATTATTATGAAGCGGAAAGTTAAAGGAATTTTACAATGTCGAACAACCGGAAAGTACAATGTCAACACGTTATCCTATGAACTCTAACAAAATAGTTGTGTCAGTTGAAGTGTAAATTTTATGATGTGGAAAAGATTATGTAGTTTTTGACAAATAGGTGTCAGACATAGCTATCGTGTATTGACTATCACATAAATTTGGTGAAAATAAATTTCCATGCATATTTTTGATAAAACATATGTTTTGTTACGCAATGAGCCTAATTAGCAAAAATAACAAATTGGATAAATAGGCGAATGATGGTTGAAGCGATCGCAGAACTTTCCTTGGCTTCCCATCGATACCAACCTGCCATCTAGTTAAAACTCAGGTAAGAAAATTATTAAACTATTAACAGTTGTCACTATAACACATACATTGAATAGATGTTACAGTCAGCTAAAAAGCATATATACGCATATAGTTAGCATGTTTCAGTTAAAGTAAAATGCTAAAAAATAATTATATAAAATATCTAAAAGAATAGTCATGAATATAAAACAAATGAAATACAGAGTACATTTTTCTTGAATATAAGTTTTTAAGAGTAATTAACTATTAATATATGATTGAATCTTTATTCAATAATATTTTGTAATTTCGAATTATGAGGTGCTAAAAAACAATTATTATTTGTCATTATTTGTCATAAAATCAAACACTCACAACTTGAAACATTGTAAAATGACCTTTTATAAAATTTATGGGGCATATTTCTGATCTGAGTTCCCTCTTTGTCAATTGGTTATAATCATGCAATTTATTAATGTCAAAGATGCATGTTATGCGCATACTATTTACAATATAACAGCTCATATGTTTTAAATTACATAATTTCTACTTACATTCATATACGTTTAGTTCTCGATCGAATACAATTGTGTTTCATGTAAACGACCTTATAAAAATGTGCAACCTCTCCAATGTTTTTCCTACTGAGTAAGTTATCTAACACCAAAAACTAGATTTGGTACTTGGATTTTTAATTAAAAGATTGTGAAAAGTGTCACATTGGAAGGACGTCTAAATGCTGGTTTATGTTTGAGGTTAAATGGAAAAGCGTATATTGATAAAAGATAAAAATTTTCCAGACCCATTGTATATATTGTTTAAACAAACCATGACCACCCTTTCCATTACAAGTTCTTATTTATGGATTCATCGGCATTAAAATTTGATTATAAATTTTAATCAAAGACTATGCATGCTTGACTAACTTACATATTCGATTTATAACGTGTGCTTTGTGTTTTTTTTAGGTTTCGTCGTATCTCAAAACATGGCTTTTATCTTGCTTGCAACTGCTGCCATATTGGCTAGCGTAAACGCCGGTATGATGAAAATGATGCCACCACCGATGGAAATGATGCCGATGAAGCCAATGATGATGGAAATGATGCCGATGAAAATGATGGAAATGATGCCGATGATGGAAATGATGAAGATGATGCCAATGATGGAAATGAAAGGTAAAATGGAAATGATGCCGATGATGGAAATGATGAAGATGATGCCAATGATGGAAATGAAAGGTAAAATGGAGATGATGAAAATGATGCCGATGATGGAAATGAAGGGTAAAATGATGGAAATGATGAAAATGAAAGAAATGATGGACATGATGAAAATGAAAGAAATGATGGAGATGAAAGGAAAGATGGAAATGAAAGGAAAGATGATGGAAATGATGAAAATGAAAGAAATGATGGGAATGCCAAAAATGATGGAAATGATGCCAATGAAAATGGAAATGATGCCTAAAATGATGGAAATGATGCCAAAAATGATGGAAATGATGCCTATGAAAATGATGGAAATGATGCCAAAAATGGAAATGATGCCAATGAAAATGATGGAAATGATGCCAATGAAAATGGAAATGATGCCTAAAATGATGCCAATGGAAATGATGAAAGCAATGCCCATGGAAATGATGAAACCAATGCCAATGGAAATGATGAAGCCAATGCCAATGGAAATGATGAAACCAATGCCCATGCCAATGATGAAACCAATGCCAATGGAAATGATGAAACCAATGCCAATGAAAAAAGGAGGTTACTAGACAAACCTTTTGAACTGATGAATATTTACATATTATATAATTTTAAAGCAGATGTAGATAATATTAAAATAAATATAGATTTCATTCATAACATCAGGATTTAAGCTAGAATCTTGAGGGCTTAAGTCACTACTTCGAGATCAGACAAAAAGACTTTTCCTGGGTAGCAGCTTCACATGATAGGACTGAGGTAGTTTTTGCATAGGGTTAAATACATGAAAAAAACATGTGTACCTTCATTTTCTTTTTCTGTATTTCATTAGTATACAAATACAAAGATAACAATAAAGATTAAACAAAACAGCTGTTTTTCTTTAAAAGATTGCATGTGCTGGTTTTGATTGTTATGTCTCAAAACAGGGACTAGTGTGACTAATATAATGATTTTTTGTACGTTCAGTCTTCATAATCAGCTAATGGTCTGTATATGCTACAGAATAGAGAAAATGGTTTAGAACCTAAAATAACGATTAGAGACAAATAGGCAACAAAATGAAAAAGAGAAAATAACGTGTGCTTAAAGATACAAATACAGAAAATTTGGATAAAAAAATAAAGAATACAGAAAATGACGACTTCCCTTTCCCTAACCCTCTGCTAAGACCCTCTTAATTTTACATCATAAATCAAAAGACCCCTTAAACCTACAAGTTCTTAAGTCAGAAGTGTGTAGACAAATCTTAAGTAGGTCTTTCAATACTAGGAAAAACTGGTATAAATAAAGGTATCTTTCTTGGATTAGGGTGTGTTCCTACCTCTTCGGAGAATTGTTTACAGTAGAAGTGAATACAATCAATGGCAACCGTTTTTTTTATTTCTCACCAAAAGTGAGAACAGGCAAAGACAGAATACATCAAAATTTAACAATTTTAACAGAATTCAAATTCATGACTGTTTTTGTCTTTCCGTCAACAACGTTTTCATCATGAAACTACGGTAAACGCTGCAAATTGTGTAGTCGTCTGAAAAATTTCTTAAATTCGAAATGATTAATGGCGACTGACAGATTCTATTTGTATGAATTAGTTTTGATGATCATTAATGACCCATCAGATAAGCGGATTACCTGTAAAAACAAATTATGACACATGTTGTGGTGCTAAACTGTTCATAAACTTGTTGCATTGTAAAATGTCGTACAATTATTATTTATACTTTTATAAATTTCGTTAATGGCAAAAATGACCCGCTGGCGATAATACTGATGACAGAGTGTTATTTACTTGTATCAGTTACTAGATGTACATTGTAAAAAAATGAGAAATATTGAAAGTCACACAAATGGGAATGAAGTAGATTAGCTTCTCTCGCTGAGTGAGCTTAATATTAAAACATCTACCGCTTAAAGATAATTTAAGTCTATGCTCATTCCGGTTGATGAAATAACATTTTACGGTACCAATATATCTGCACCAGGTGCACATTTCGACAAAAAATGTCTCTTCAGTGATGCTCGAGGTCAAAATATTTGAAAACTCAAAGCATATCAAAACAAAGAAAAGCTTATAAACCAAAAAGAACCAAAATAAAAAAAAAAAAAAAAAAAAATTCGGGCAAGGAATCAGAGCTTTGCATAAAATGTTGCATGAGGGAGATATATTCCTTAATTCAAATTAATTTCCAAAGTATTGTAACAGCATATTCTAAAAAACAAAATCCGTATTTTCATGCCAGTAGCAAAGTAATGGCTATTGGGCTGGTGATAACCTCAATGACTAACAGTCCACCATCAGAGGGATCGACCCAGTGGAAGTAGTCACATATAACGGTACACATTTTTCTGCACCAGATGCCCATTTCGACAATGAATGTCTCAAGTTACAAGGTGGATATATTCTGCATATGAGAGAATTATTCATCACTTACAAATTGGGAGTGTAATTTTGGTATCCTCCACATGCTTAAAATGATGTTCGTATTGTCACCTGTGCACTATTTTGTATACTAGGAGTTGTCTGTATGGTTTTTTGTCATCGTGTCGTTTAGCTTTCTTCGAATTATGCTGCTTATATCTTCCCTCGATACCATTTTCCTTAATTAACTCTTATGAAATTAACAAAAAATATAGAATGACTCGACCCGTGGTCAGACATCTTTCAATCACGTTCCATCATTACAATTTATTTGCAATTTAGTTAGATTGGCACATCACCTTTTCTAATTAGTACATATAATATGTATGCTGTATGATTGTCTATATTTGCAAGTTACAATCCACTATATAATGTAGTTTATTCAAGAAACGATACACTTAATACCAGTTTGAGTGTGTTGACTTCAAAATGAAGTGAGTCAATGTGCGTACACAGGGTACTCACATCCTGCTTATATATAAGATAAGAAGCTTTGGTGTGCATGCAAATAAGACAACTATCAACCAAGGACCAGATGACGTACATGCAAATAACTATAATTCAATGTATGGCATTCAAAAATGAGAAAAATCCATACCGTAAAGTAAGCTTTACATTGATTGTACTGATTTGACAAATTGTAAAACAATTCTAACGAGAACAGCCTGCTTTATGTACAAAAAACGAAAAATATATATGACAAACAGCAACCAATAAGAAACTCTGTATTTCAGGCTCCTGACACCGGACAGACAAATACATAATGCTGCGAGGTTTAACATGCTTGGGGATCTCAACCCTACCTCAAGCTTGGGCAGCTGTGTAATAGTACATCATAGGAACAAAATCCAAAATTAAGTTGAAAAAGGCTTATACACAACGTGTATGTAACAACGTATTGTCAAACTTGAACTTAATTTTATCATCGCTACAAGGACGTCATTCGTAAATATAGGTTTACGCGCAGGCATCTTATACGTTCAGGTGTTTCACATCCAATCTTTTATGGTAATATTCTATGCAAAGCGCAAAAATGTCATCATTCACCTCTTAATCTAACCTAACCCTTAAATAGACTTATTCACACAAGGAATATGGTTACGATACTGTTGTCAACTCATTAAGGAAGGCATTTTTTGAAATTTATATTGATTCACTCACAGGGTCTTTGCATCGGAAATAAACACATTTATTCTAAAACCAGTTGTTGACATGATACGAGTTATGTTCTTCTCGTATTACTTTTGATGACATGATACTAAACCCTAACGGGAGGGATTGTGGTTGATTTTCACTTGATGAAGACATAATTGTTTAATCAGTTTAATTGAAGTAAGGAGCTGGCCTGTCAGTAATTGCTAGTAGTGCTTGGTTAAATTATGTTAGCATTGTCATTTTGCTTAGTTTCCCCTGTTACCTATTTTAACATCGGACTCGGACTTCTTTTAAACGGAGTTTTAATGTGTGTTTGTTTATTCCATATATGCTAGAGGTATAGGAGGAGGGTTAAGATCTCACGAAACAGGCGCTGACACATTTTTGCGCCTGTCCAAAGTTAGGAACCTATAGCATTTGTTAATACTAGTCTTGTGTGTGTTTTTTCAAAGTTGATTCATTTGTATGTTCCGGAGTTTAGTTTGGCGTCCATAACGCTGAACTAGTAAACATTATTGTTAAGAGGCCAGTTGAAGCCAAATTTTTCGCTGCATTGAATACCCATTGATGACCTTGAGCTGTTTTCTGTTCTTTGGTCGGGTTATTGTTGCTTTGACGAATTCTCCGTTTCCATTCTTTCTTCTATTGTATCATCAAATCGACATAAAGGAAAATACATCTAATACAAAGACTTCAGACACAAAGAATATATCTAAGAGTATTCGCAGTTTTTAATAACTAGTTGGAAGCATATTATAGCTGATAACTAAATAATGTTTCCTAGACTAAAATATCAATCAGTACACATCCATTGGATTCAGTTTGGAGAAGCAATAACAGTCTAAGAAAAGATGAAACTGTGCAATGCCAAAATATAAGTATCGACAGGAAGTAGGAAGTGTTCATGAATGTATAGAAACACATAGTTAAGTATGTTTTAATTTATCAATAACAAAATTAATCTTAGTACTGATTAAATTTCTCATTACAATGGTAAATTCAAAACCCTTTAGAATAAGTTAATCAAATTGATCGATAAGGCTAAATTGATCGTATCTACATCTATTGGCTCTCGTTTTAAGTAATTCATGGTCACGAAATCCCTGACAGAACAATTTACTAGGGAAAGTAAAATTGTTCTTTCATTGAGATCACTACAAACACGAAAATACAGAACGAGTCATCTGCCATGAAATGGGCACAATTGGAATGCCTTCAACCTGTCGATAAACGTTATTATCGAAACGTACATAAATTTTATCAAGGAATCAATTTTATAGCTTTTATCCTCTCTTCACACTTCTACTAATTATATCATATTTACATTTTTCGTTTAAGATGTTAAAGAAGAAGACTTTAAATGAGTTTCAGAAAATACATTTGCTTTCAATTTTTCAAAGGTCCATTCAAATAAATAGGAAACATTTATTTGATAAGATTGAATGGAAGTGTGGTGTAGCTGTCAATCAAATTGAGCGAACCATTAAACGCACTTAATTATTTAAAACACACACAGAATTGTTCAACCTCCTAAAAAAATTAGTTCCATTACTTTCATATGCATTATAATAATAAAATCTTTTGAAAGAAGTATGGAAAACAGTTAAACACTGTGATGTACTAGAAGACGCGATTAAACGATATTTGACGGCTTGTGGTGTGTAGTGTAGGTATCCAACACATAGTAGGGACATTCAAATGTTCATAGATGGCCTTACATAAAAAAAAAAACACTTGATACATTCATGTAATTCCGTAGATGTGGTTAATAATATGATTGTTCATTATAAGACTCTCTCGGGAGAGAACGGACATGAATGGAAACAATAGTAGAAGAATTCATAATTTCATTCTTTTGAAATTGCTTGGCCAGTATTACGATTTGTTACTTTTGAATAGCAGTATACTACTGTTGTCTTTTGTTTTTTGTTTTATGTGCTACATGCAGAAATATGTGTTATTTCTCGGTTATTACAGTTGTACACTAAAGATGATGGTAGTTAATTCACAAAACGTTGTTAAGGTTTATCCGGTCCATTCACCTATTCCTATTGTTGCGATTACATTATTCTTAATATTATTAAAATACATCTATACATTATGGAAAATATTGTGAACAAAATCAGCCTGTTGTTTTTTTAAGATTTCATGTCCTCTGAGACAGAATAGATCTTCGTAAGTTTATGACATATTTGTTATTTGGTTATTTAGATTAAGTTGTGGCTTCCGTGAAATTAAATATATTTCTTTTGTTTGATTATCTGCGCTAATTAAAACATTACCTTTTGCATTTAAAAAAAAAAAATTTGAAGTGATTTGATGTAAATTTTAAAATATTTTATGTGCAAAAGGCGAGGGCAAAATAATTTACGTATATTTAAAAAAACATAGAGAAGAATCTCTGTTTATATACGTAAGTACAAAATTATCAAGTGTTTTATAATTGATAATTAGAAATAGTTACCTAGCTTTCAATAAACATGTGAATAATTAAAATTATGAAAAAATTAGTGACGATATACCTTTGATAAAGAAATCAACTGTGTAAACTTCCTTTTTTTTAAGGGAAAATTTAAGAAACACCTTGAAGCTCTCTCCGGCGCAGGCAGAGCAGTAACGTAAAGTGAATATCATTTTCGTAGAGTTTTTTGTTATGTTAATATTATACTTTATTCTAATTTCATTATAAATAAAGGCAACAGTCATTGACAGTGGTATACCGCTGTTCAATAGTCACAATCCGAATAAGCATATACAAATCCGGGTAGCAAACTAAAATCGATTAAAAACATCAACTATAAGAGGAAAACAACAGAACAACTGAAACACCGAACTACAACAAAAGCAAACACCAACATACATAGAAACGGACTGTCTGATAACAACTGCCATATTCCTGATTTGGGACAGGACATTTTAAGAAAAAATGGTGGGTTGAACCTGGGAGTATTCTGATTTAAGTGATATCTAGTTTTATACAAGTATCTTTATATACAACGATACCACCACTCAGGATTGTTATGCATTGACCTTCGAAATATGACGTCACAAAAAGAAAACTGTTGGTTGCACTCAAATGAAAACAGGAAGAACATAAAATCGACTGTGGGGGTACACGACAACTCGTACCTTCGCCAATTCGTACTCCACCAACTCGTATCCTATTTTTACCAACTCGTGCCAATTTTTATTATTATTTATATATATTATATTTGTTATTTTCTTCCATATATTATGATAATATAGCAACACACAAGTAAAATAAAATATAACTTTGATTGGTTTTATGATGCAATCATAACTGTTTTAAACCAAAGTAATTAAATGCTAATCATTAGTCATTAGAAATGTTTTATTATATGAAGAACACAAAATCGACTCTGAACATTAGGCTTTAGTTAAATCAACAAATTATTACTTTTTTGTCACCAAAACTTTTCAATAAATTCCAGGAACTCGTATAACGTTGTAATTGAGCAGGCATGCTGACAATACCCTGTTATGCACAAGTCATTTTGAGCCAAAAAAATATGCAATTTTTTATCTATAGCATTGACACATGAGTTTTTCTGTTTTTTTTTTATGTTGACGGGTGTTTTGTAACTCCTATTTTCTCGCAATTAATTGATTGTGTACTGGCAAAAAAAAAATCTAAAACTATGGAACACTCCCACCCCCCTAAAAAAAAACAAAAAACAAAAAACTGACGAAAATGTATCTTTCTGTTTGAAATTTGCAATTTTTTGACGAAGTATTGATATAATGAATTTTAACTTTTACCTAAAACATGCCAAAATCAAAATGATATACTTATCAAAACAATATATCAAAAAGTATCAAAATGGATTGTGTGTATAGCTTTTACCCAAAACATGCCTAAATCAGAATGATATACTTGTACCTCGAAAAGGGACTCAGGAATGTATATTTGTCTTTGCATATTTCAATAGTAGTATCAAAATGGATTTTGTGTCACAGTTTTAAGGAAAATCAATGCGAGAACGTTTCTGTGTCGCGTGTCATTAACTTCTTACCACATGTTTTTGTAACGTACATTCAATAGCCACCCCTTTCTCCATAAAACAAACAACTACATGCACTACCATATTAGTTCTTCCTTGGATTAGAAATTGTTAAATCCTTAATAACAGAGATTAAATATGATGTGGATCAAAAGGCTTTTAATGTAGATAATTACTAGTTAGAACACTTCTACAAAACGTTTACATTTGTATGAATAAATGAGGCTGTGGGAAATATGTCAATGGGATAAAAAGTCAACTAAGAAGCATGTCATCATATGAACTCTTACAAAATATCTGTGTCAATTAAAGTGTTCATGTTTTGGTATGGAAAAGATTATGTATTTTATGACAAACAGGTGTCGGACATGGTTATCGTGTATTGACTATTACATATTTTTGATGAGATATAATGTCGTGGCATATTTTTAATTAAACATATGTTTTATTACGTAATGAGCTTTATTAGCAAAACTTCAGATTGTATAAATAGGCAAATGATGGTTGAACCGATCGCAGAACTTTCCCTGGCTTTCCATCGATACCAACCTGCCACCTAGTTAAAACTCGGGTAAGAAATTAATTTATTGTCAGCCTTCAGTATACAACATTAATTAGATAGGTGTGAATATCGTCTAGAAATAAGTATTGATATGATAAAGTTGGCATATTTTTCTTTGAAAATGAGGTGTTGACAAACCATTATTGAAATATAATTTTGAATAAGACTGATCATTTATTCGTATATAATTGAATATTTATCTTTTTATCTTTTTTTTTAATTGCAAAATGATTATTGTTAGTCATGTAATTAGACCAAACACTCAATACTTAAATCCCTTCAGACAAATTTTTGGGCTAACTTTTATTCAATATCGGATTCTCAACTCGGTTCTATTCTATCTTTATTTTGTGTATTACTTATGCAATTGATTTTATGAAACATGCATGTGTTTCGCGTAATACATAAAATATAACAGTTTATATGTTGTCAAATAACATAATCGATGCATACATTTATAGACGTTTAGTACACTATCTATTACAATTAAATTATTTATAAACGACTTATTCTTTTATGGGGCTTCTGTTTTGGTCACACAATATCTCACGTACTCAGGCACCACTTTATCCTTTGCTTTCAAACTTTTTGTTCTAGATCGTTCCTGATGAAGGTAAATCCAGAAGAGCGCGTCAGATGCATCAATTTAATAACTGTCAAATTCTGATTTTATCATTCCTACTGACTTTATCGTATTATCAGCCTACTGTATACCACATTAAACAGATAGGTGTAAATATTGTCTAGGAAGCAAATGAGTATTAACATGATTAAGTTGGCACATTTTGATAAAAGTAAAATACCATGTTTATGTTTGCTTTGATCTGTTGATAATGCGGTGTTAACAAACCATTATTGAAATACAATTCTAAATAAAACTTATCATTTATTCATATATAATTGAAATATTTATCCTTTTTCATTTTTTATTCAAAATGATTTTGTTTGTCATATAATGAAATCAAACACTCAATACTTAAATCCGTCAGAAATGTTTTTGGGCACACTTTAATTCAATATCGGATTCTTATCTCGGTTTTATTCTATCTTTATTTTGTGTGTGTTAATTAGGCAATTTATTTTATGAAACATGCATGTTTTTCGCGTAATACATACAATATAACACTCTATATGTTGTCAAACAACATAATCTGTACATACATGTATAGACGTTTAGTCCACGATCTATTACAATTATATTTCATACAAACGACTTATTCTTTTACGGAGCTTTTCGGTCATATAACATCTTACGTATTCAGGTATCAATTCATCCTTTGCTTTCAAACGTTTTGTGTTTGATCGTTACTGGTGATGGTAAATCTAGAAAAGCTCTTCGGATGCACCAATTCAATACGTATTAAATTCGTATTTTATCATTCTTATTGATTTTATCATATGACCATTAAAATGTAAGTTGTGTTGGATTAATTGAAAATATATTATTTATATGTGATAGGAGATAAAAAATGCAAAATTCACAACATGGTTATTTACCATGAAAAACATTTTACGATAACCAAAACAAAGGATAAACATAAATAAGTGACCGCTTCAAAATAATATGAAATCTTCACTAGAATATTGAAAGAAAAAAAAACCACTTAATTAATTTCGTACGTCCGATGCGCTTTTCTTGATTTACCTTCATAAGGAATGCCTAAATTCAAACATTTAAAAGCAAAGGATGTATAAGACATAAACACCTAAAGAGTTATATAACCAAAAAAGTAAAATAACAAAAATACCGAACTCCAAAGAAAATTCGAAACGGAAAGTCCCTTAACAAATGGCAAAATGAAAAGCTCAAGCTGATCAAACGAATAGAAAACAACTGTCATATTCCTGACTTGGTACAGGTATTTTCTTATGTAGAAAAAGGTGGATTTGAATTGGTTTTATAGCTAGCAAAACCTCTCACCATCATACCAAAGAGACATAAACATAGCTAAATTCCTCCAATATAAAATTTCCATGATCCATTAACTCAGCAAATGTAAAACTAGTTCAGTAAAAGCAGTAAATGTTTCAAAGGAAGGTTAACATTCTCTAAAGCTGATAGAATAACATTTCTATCATTAGTATTCTTTTATTTTGTGCTTAAGTTTGATATTCTTGCAATGAGAATGAATTATTATTTTGTATTGACATTATAGGTTTTATGCGTTCAGGTAATTTTCATGCAACTGGAATAGTTCTCGATTGGTTAAATGTTAAGTTTTCACTGCGTCATTGAGGGAATTTGTACTTATTTTTACACTTGATAAAGAACAAAAGTTACATTGAAATAAAAACTTTTTAACGAGGACGTATGTCAAAGAATAAATGGAAAAACGTATGTTCAGTTAAAAAATCATAAATCCAGGTTCATTGTAACTTTTTTTACAAACTACTCATTTAATATACATATCCTTATATTCAGATCGTGACCGAAATTTTATCTCCAATTTAAGCAAATTATTTTGGAAAATGCATGTTTGAATAATATATATATATATTCCTGTTATAACGAGAACTGTCTTTTTTTCAGGTTTCGTCGAATCTCAAAATATGGCAACATTTTTCGTGCTTACAACTGTAGCCATATTGGCTGGCGTAAACGCCTATGGCATGAAAAAGATGCCGCCGCCAATGGAAATGATGGGCGGAATGGGCGGCAAAGGTGGCATGATGGAAATGATGCCAATGAAGCCTATGATGCCGATGGAAATGATGGGCGGAATGAGCAATAAAGGTGGTATGATGGAAATGATGCCAATGAAGCCTATGATGCCGATGGAAATGATGGGCGGAATGAGCAATAAAGGTGGTATGATGGAAATGATGCCAATGAAACCTGAGATGCCGATGGAAATGATGGGCGGAATGAGCAATAAAGGTGGCATGATGGAAATGATGCCAATGAAGCCTATGATGCCGATGGAAATGATGGGCGGAATGAGCAATAAAGGTGGTATGATGGAAATGATGCCAATGAAGCCTATGATGCCGATGGAAATGATGGGCGGAATGAGCAATAAAGGTAGCATGATGGAAATGATGCCAATGAAGCCTATGATGATGGAAATGATGCCGATGAAAATGATGGAAATGAAAGGTAAAATGGAAATGATGAAAATGATGCCAATGATGGAAATGAAAGGTAAAATGATGGAAATGATGAAAATGAAAGAAATGATGGACATGATGAAAATGAAAGAAATGATGGAGATGAAAGGAAAGATGGAAATGATGCCTAAAATGGATATGATGCCAATGAAAATGGAAATGATGCCTAAAATGATGGAAATGATGCCAATGAAAATGATGGAAATGATGAAGCCTGATATGCCAATGCCAATGAAAATGATGGACATGATGAAACCTGGTATGCCAATGCCAATGCCAATGCCGATGAAAATGATGGACATGATGAAACCTGATATGCCAATGAAAATGATGGACATGATGAAGCCTGATATGCCAATGAAAATGATGGACATGATGAAGCCTGATATGCCAATGCCAATGAAAATGATGGACATGATGAAACCTGATATGCCAATGCCAATGCCCATGCCAATGAAAATGATGGACATGATGAAGCCTGATATGCCAATGCCCATGCCAATGAAAATGATGGACATGATGAAACCTGATATGCCAATGCCAATGCCCATGCCAATGAAAATGATGGACATGATGAAGCCTGATATGCCAATGCCAATGAAAATGATGGACATGATGAAGCCTGATATGCCAATGCCAATGAAAATGATGGACATGATGAAACCTGATATGCCAATGCCAATGCCTATGCCAATGAAAATGAAAATGATGGAAATGATGCCAATGCCAATGCCCATGCCAATGAAAAAGGGAGGATATTAAACAAACGCTTTTTTTAATACTGATGAATATTTACATATTATATAATTCTAAAACAGTTGTAGATAATTTGCATATAAATGAATATATCATGCATAATAAAGAGTTGTTTACTGTTATCAGTAACTACTTTGTAAAAGAATAACAAATTCGGCAAAGTCGCACAAATGGGAATAAAGTAATTCAGCTTCTCTCTCTGAGTGAGATTAATATTTCGTAAACAACTATTACTAAAATATAAAAATAAGGAGATGTGGTATGATTGCCTATAAAACAACTATCCACCAAAGTTCAAAGGAAGTGGATTTAAGCAATTATTGGCAACCGTACGGCCTTCAACAATGAGAAAACCCATACCGTATAGACGGCTATAAAAGGCCCCGACATGCAAAAATATGAAACAATTCAATTGAGAAAACTAACATAAGAAGAAACTATAACAATCAGTTGAAAAGGGTTTTATTCATCACATCAATACAAAGCAGAAAAGCATCTAGCAAAAACTCATCAGATCAAAACAAAGCCGAAATGCATCTAGCAAAACAAAACCGTACGTGGCAGGATATCTATACATCCCTTACAACAAAAAAGATAGAAAGTAAAATCTGATATTACTCGCAGTTACTGACAGCTAGTTCAAAGCCAATAACAACTAATAAAAGAAATCATGTATCTAAGAATAAAATATCAATCAGTACAAATCCAACATCCAATTTAGTGTAAGTAATCATTAACAGTCAGAGAAAAACATGACCTTGTGCAAAGCCAAAATATAGGTATCGACAGAGTGTAGTACCGTGAATATGCATATGTGTATACAGTACTAATATGCGGTCACTTCAGTCTATGATGATTCAAGTAGTAGCTCTGGAAGAGACACGCATTTGTGAAAGTGGTAAGGTGGATATGTAATGCAAATGAGAGGTTTATATTCGTCACTTTCAAATTAGAGATTTTAATTCTGGTGTGCTCCACATTCACTTTTTTCTATACAGTGGGTTGTTTGCTTTGTTGCCGCGTGTTATTTGCCTTTCTTCGAATGATGCTTTGTTTTTACAAACCCCCGATATCACCAGGTGCGTTGACAGTGTATGCACGTGTACATCCTCCTCATATATAAGATAAGAAACTGTGGTGTGCATGCCAATGAGACAACTATTAACTAGGGACCAGATGACGTACATGCAAGTAACTGTTCTACACCTATCCCAAAGTATTTGTAGCAAAATGATGTTGGATATATCTAAACTCATCATCTGCACCACTAAGGAAAACACAATTTTGTCAAATAAATCTGTCACTCCAACTATAATTTGTTTGTTAATAAATACCACATGTTTATTTTCTCTGCTTCATGGGTGGTAATTATTGCTTAACTTAATTAATATTCAATACCAGCATTAATCCACACTTTATCAAAGTAAATTTATCATCTGCGATTTATGAATATATACATGCAAGGAGAATAAAAGATACAATGTGTTTTTATGTGAAGACACATCAGAAATTGTTGCTTCATTATTTAATTAGATACATAAAAAAAATAAATCTAAAACTGAAAACAACCTATACAAGTCTTAAGATAGGTTATTAAAACATTTGATTGATTATATAGAGAATATCATATGGCTTTTTCAATATCATACCTGTATCAACCCGAGACACCAATATAATCCCAAGAGTTCTGCTCGAGGGATTATAGTGGTTGAGGGTTAATACAGAGTGTGATATTGTAAAAGCCATATCATAAACACTTTATTATATACATTTACCTCAAGTACAACTAATTTAGATGGTTTTTCACGTGACATGACGTAAAACATACATAAGGGGTTTGATGAAGCCCTTGTAACCGTGACAGATGTCAATTACGTAACGTCTTACAGATAAGGGATTTGATAAAGCCTTTGCAACCGTGACTGATATCGATATCATCACTGTTGGCTGATACAGCATGATTACCATCGATTTTATTACACATACAATTTACTTGTCTTTACTACTAAATATATAATAAGAATAAATATCAGATGCATGTAACATTAATATGTGAACAAATCAAGTTCCTTTTCAATTACCTTCATTCTTTTATAGACATACTTTGCATTAATAATCTATGTAAATTGTCCCATCAGCTCATGTGTATGCAGATGTTTTTTTCTGTTTTTGTTTTAAATGGCGATCAGAAAAATCTAAAAGCTCAAAACCTCTATGAAATTTATATACTCAGTTTTTGGTTTTAACATAATATTATCTATGCCTTAGTCATAATGCCATGACAGATTTATGGCCTTTGTTTGACATTTCAAACTAAGAAAAGATTTACATTTTCACTCTAAACGGGTTGAATAACTATAGGTCATTGTACGGCCTTCAACCAGAAACAAAATCTATACCGTATAGCACGCTTTGCAATGCACTCATTTAACAAACTTTAAATCAATTCAAACGAGAAAACCAACGGTCTATTTTATAAACAAAACAATGAACAAAAAATAAATTTAAATTGGCAGCAACCAACAACAACCTCTGAATTACAGGCTCCTGGCTTAGGACGGGCGCATGCAAAATGTTGCAAGGATCAACATGTTTGAGAGCTCTCTATCATTCCCAAAGCTGGAACAGTGGTGTAGAAGTACATTGCACGAACAAACTGTAATATTTAGTTAAAAATGGCTTGTAAAATTACATGAAGCACAAAAATCAACCGATAAAAAAAATCTTATACAAAAAGTGCCAATCTTAGAGTACTCGCAGTTATTGAGAACAAGTTAAAAGCTATTTACAACTAATAATTTAATCATGTTACCTCGATTTAAATACCAATCAATCATCCAATGGATTTAGTTTGGAGACGCAATAAAGAGTCTAAGAAAACATGAAAATGTGTTGTCATTTTAGCGGTATTTTTAACATTGCCATATAAGCGGTAGGTTTGGCTAGCCATAAAACCAGGTTCAACCCACTATTTTTTCTTGAAATTTCCTGTGCCAGGTCAGGAATATGGCAATTGTTAGCAGATAGTCCGTTTCTATGTATATTGGTGTTTGCTTTTGTTGAAGTCAATTGCTTCATTTGTTCCGTTGTTTTCCTCTTGCAGTTGATGTGTTTCCCTCGGCTTTAGTTTGTAACCCGGATATGGTTTTGCTCAATCGAATTATGACTATGGAACAACTCAATGTTAATACTATAATGTACAACTTCCTCATTTATAAACCGGACTGAAAGCAAAATATATGTTGCACAGATTCGGGTCAAAGCAATGACTTCAATAAAACATAAAACCAGAATATATGCTTAGGGTTGCTGTAGGTAGGTAAAATTTATTAAAAAAACAGAATGTCAGACAGAACGTATGTCGTGACGTTTATCAGCATTAGTTTTTATCGATAACATTACCAGTTACTGAATTGAAAATGAATTAACTTTGAATTATGCATAATGAATCCTAATATGGAATTAAATCTTGATGAGATGCTTTAGATGTATGATCACTAACTCGTTCACTGGTAAATTGTTGTTTTATCTGCTCCATGACGATCTATGAGAATCACACGTGAACTACTTCTTGGTAACTCCATTTGTATACTAAAGATACTAAGAATTTACAGAACGACATTAAAGCAAAATTTAATCCGATTCATTCTCAGTCGTTATTGCTATTTTTGTGATTATTCCTCTTTAATTTGATTGAGAGTTTACTTTATTCCAAACCATGAATCGATTCTATTGTCTGAAAAATTAAGACGAGTTAGTGTGTTTTCTGGTAGTCGTACGTGCTATTTAATTTCATAGTCCTGTTATCATGTAATAACAATACAATATATTTCAATGATTCTTTAATATCATGAGTTAAAACATGTATGTAGTTATTCAAATAATTATGTTATTTGCAAAAGAGAGTCAAAATATACCAAAGTCATGAAAGTGATATTCAAACTCATAAGCCGAAAACAAGCTGAAACGCCATGACAAAACAACAAGAAACGAAAAGAAGACAAATAACAATTTACATAACACAACGAGGAAAACTAAAAACCTAATAAAATGAACACAACAAAAATCCGGAAGTGATCTCAGGTGATCCGGAACCCGTAGTGTTACTCCTATAACATTAGCTGCTCAGTAATATCAAGAGATGAGGCATCAGGCAAAAAAAAAAAAATGGTAATTGTTTCTTAACTAACCCTAAGACATCACAAAATTCGTAAACCATCGGTCATGTATAGTTTTCTCACCCTGAAACTTGAACGAGTGTGAGATTTTGAAATTGAAATACGTTTTAATGACAAAGTATGTTATCGGTATAAACAACACAGACATTGAAAAGTTCAAAAACACAAAGAAGGACACTTAAAACGAAGGGAAGATCAACACGAGCACTATTTAAACAAATCTAGGGGTGATCTCAGGGGTGCTCTCTGAAACAGATATTCCATAACGGTTAAAGGTTACAATCAACCATTAAATATTATGTAATCAGAATTAAGAGTATAGCTAATTGATTGGCCGATATGTGTTATATTCTCTGCATTATACCAAAGGCAAAATGATCTATTTTCCTTAACCCTAACGGAACTGAGAAGTCTTTTCTACGCTGTGATGAGACAGGTTTACTTAAGTGTAGAATTGATAGCCATTGGAGATAAGTACAAATTACGTTAAGAAAATCAATGGGAACCTATATTTTTTGGACCAAAAAGTACTGTCCTAATAATTTTTCTTTTAATATAGCAAGGTTTCGTTCTTTAAATCTATTTCCTAAAGTCTGTATCTCGAAAACGGCCCCTATAGTCGTCTATGGGGAAATAATTGTTTTTACAATCTATAAAAACTCATGATGGCGTCTGTATAATACCGGAATTGGTGATTTCAATTTTACACACGGCACTCTTGCTTTCATATAAAAATAAGAAGATGTGGTATGATTGCCAATGAGACAATTCTCCACAAGAGACCTAATGACACAGAAATTAACAACTATAGGTCACCGTACGGCCTTCAACAATAAATAAAACCCATATCGCATAGTCAGCTATAAAAGGCCCCGAAATGACAAATGTAAAACAATTCAAACGAGAAAACTAACGGCCTGATTAATGTACAAAGTAATTAACGAAAAATAAATATGATATACAGCAACAAACGACAACCACTGACTAACAGGCTTCTGCCAAGCACGTATAGAAAATGGCGGGGTTACATTAGTCAATAGTTTCCTTAAGAGCAACAATTCTCTATCAAGAAAATCATGATAGGAAATGTAAGCTCTGGAATATCGTATCAGCTGGGAGACATACACTCCATACGCTGCTGGAATATTGCTACATTGAAATGAAAAGTTCACAATTAGGAAGCTGAAATCATCTCTTTAGTAGTAAAGTTTTTGTTCTTAACCAACCCTCATTGTTAATTTCTAGATGTAAGAAAAGATATGAAGAAGATTTAACAGTTGTATCTTTTATTTCAAGTTCGATGGAATAGTTGCGTTCAACAGAGTCTCAAAACTTTGAATTATTCGGTTAGAAAACATCATCTTTACAACGGAAGTTGAAGTTAAAGGATAATGCTAGATGCTAGCTTATTTTCATTCTTCTTAAGAAGCTCCTGTATGAAGTCAGCCTCTTATGAATAAAGGAACAAGTCAGTACGAAGGGGAAAACAGTTGGTGCTCTTATGAATTCCAATCGTTTGTTGAAAACCAAGATCTTGAATAGTAGCAAATGTGTAGTCAAGCATGTTGATAATGTAAGTTTTAGAGCTTTTTAAACAGAAATAATTTTTTTCCAAAGTACGATTGATTAATCCCTTAGAAAATATTATTATTTCTGCGTTGGTAATTCTTTTTTATGAAACAAAGCACGACCGATTCTTTCAATTTGTCTTTTAGTTTGGAATAGGAATACTTATGTAAAGGTTACAAAAGTCAAATGTTTTAAATATCATTGCAAAGGTGAGGTCAAAAGAGGTGAATTAACGCAAACGTGGTGGGCCTCTGTAATATCCTTTTTCATTTTCATTTCAAATTTACTTTTTCATGAACTAAATACGTGTTTTGTACTACTACGCTCATAACCTCCTTCGACCGGTAAAGTATATCTGCTATGAGACTTGATATGTGTAGGCCCAGAATAAAAAATGACATAGAGAAAAGTCCATGTTTTTTTACGTTATTTGGACAAAAGCATCATGTGTTTTATAATTAATAATAAGAATTAGTTGGTTTAAACCATTTTTATTCAATAAATCAAAGCATGATAATATATATATATATATATATATATATAAGATAACACATTATAAAAAATGTATCCATAAACAAGCAACAGTGCTTACTTTAATCTGTTTCCAAAGAATTAGTAAGTTAGATTTCAGTTAAAACATGTTGAATAATGAAAATGATTTAAAAATTAATATTGATATACTTGTGTTATTTCTAAACAACTATGTACACTTCCTTTTTTGGTAGGAAAAATTAAAAACATTGTTGGAAGCTACTGCTATTTTTATCTGAAATGTGCACGGAACATTACACTTGTTTTTCGCTCGTTCCGTTGATTGATAACGTTTGATTTTGTCAGTTTTTAAGGACTTCTCCTTTTTGGATTTACCTTGGAGTTTTTTTGGCAATGTTTTTATACTTTTATACCTACATACATTGTAGGTATACAAATGATTTGATTTCAAGCTTTCGTAGTTGACAGAGGGCAATTTATGTTATCAATTTCTTTGAGTTGAGCTGTTTTATTATGTTTATAAAATTACACTTTATCTTAATTTCATTATAAACTTGGTTTTTGATTGAAGTGATATCTAGTTTTATACGTCAAGTATTTTTATAAAATATACCACCACTCAGAATTGTTATGCATGGTCCCTACATTATGACCGTAAACAGAAAAATTGATTGAACCCAAAAAAGGAAGGTGACATAAAATCGACTGTGGACACAAAGCTTGAGTTAAATAAACAAATGATGACTTTTCTGACACCAAAACTATTCCATAAATGTTAGGAATTCGTATAACATTGTGGCATAAGCAATTCACCGCAAAGTGATTTTGCTTCAAATACAGAAATACCATCTCTTTAGCATTAACAAGTTTTCTGTTTTTATGATCAGTGACCAGTTATTATAAACCTCCATGTATTGGCAGTTAATTGATTATGTATTGCCTTGCGAATGTTTTGGCATTAATTACAATCAAAATCAACGCCTTTTCTGTCTGCGTGCATTTGTATTGGCACGAAAGCTATCTGAGACTTTTTGTCGTCGATACTTGCTTGATATCATAACAACTTTATCTTGTTTTACCTGCAACTTATAAAAGGCCTATTGAGCACTTTCCAAAATCTATTCTTTTAATTTGAAACGTTTTTTTACGACGAAGTATTGAAACAATGAAAATTTGTATTTCTACCTAAAATAAGTCAAGATAATCCGAAATATCTTGAAAAGTAGGTCATGAATGTATTCCTTTCTTTGCATAGTTCAATAGTTCCTAAAAATAGATTTTGTATCAAAGTTTTAAGATAAACTCAATAAGATAACGTTTCGCATACCAGTAATTTCCTACCACATCGTTCTGTTACGTACATTACAGAGCCACATTTGTCTTCAAACATGTACCGTAAACGACTACATGCACCACTACATTAATTTATCTTTAAATCAGAAATTGTTAAATCCATGACAACAGAGATTTTATATGATGTGGGTCAAATGGCTTTAAATGTAGATAATTACAATTTAAAACATTTTTACACAATGTCTTCATTTGAATGAATGAAGGAAGCTGTCGGCTACATGTCAACGAGATAAAAACTCAATGAAAAAGCATGTTATCTTATGACCACCATCAAAATAGTTGTGTAAATTGAAGTGTTAATTTTATGATGTTGAACAGATGTATTATTTGACAAGTATGTGCAAGACATGGCTATCGTGTATTGACTATTACATAAATTTGATGAAAATAAATGTCGTGGCATATTTTCAATAAGACATATGTCTTATTACGTAATAAGCTTAATGAGCAAAAATAATAGATTGCATAAATAGGCGAATGATGGTTGGAACGATCGCAGAACTTTCCTTGGCTTTCCATCGATACCAACCTGCCACCTAGTTATCTCAGGTAAGAAAATAGTAAATTTGTTTCAGCCTTCAAGTTGGTATATTTCGATTAAATCAAAGTACAAAAAAAAAAAAAAAAAAATAGGATCATATTTTAAAAAGACAAAATGTTATCAAAAAAAGAATAGTAAATGAAATACCGATAACGCATTACATTTTCTAATCTAAAATCTTTCAGACTAATCTTTTATTCAAATTTAATTATTTCAATGCTTTAATAATGTGGTGTTAATCAACCATTATCGTTTTTCAAAACATTGAAATAAAAGTTTGTTAAAGACTTATCATGTGTTCATATATAATTGAATTATTATCCTGTTTCCTTTTTTGATACAAAAATGATATGTCGACCAACCAATTATTTTTTGTTATACAATTAAAGGAAACACTCTATTTTAAAGTCCCTTCGGACATTTTTTTTTCGGCATGGTTTCATTTAATATCGGATTCTCAAATCGATTCTATTCTTTTTTTATATTTTGTGTGTTAATTATGCAATGTATCTATGTCAAAGATACAGGGAACTCGCATGGAAATACATACAATATAACAGTCTATATGTTGTCAAATAACATATTCTGTACATTTCTAGACATTTAGTTCGCGATGTAACATGTCTATTACAATTATATTTCATATAAAAAGTTAAATCACAAAAATGCTGAATTCCGAGGAAAATTCAAAACCGAAAGTCCCTAATCAAATGGCAAAATCAAATGATAAAACACATCAAACGAATGGACAACAACTGTCATATTCCTGACTTGGTACAGGCATTTTCAAATGTAGAAAATGGTGGATTGAACCTGGTTTTATAGCGCTAAACCTCTCACTTGTATGACAGTCGCATCAATTTCCAATATATTTACAACGACGTATTCATTTACTACCCATTTTGGTCATAAACTTACTCACATATCCAGGCATCAATTCATCCTTTGCTTTTAAACGTTTTGTGATTGATCGTTCCTAATGAAGGTAAATCAAGAACAGCGCTACGGATGCACCAATTTAATAACTATTAAACTTTTAATCAATTATATAAATATGCAACTTCTCTGCATTCTTATTCCTATCGAGTCTATCATAAAACTGTAAAATACAAGTAGTTTAATGATTAATTGCACATAGATTTTTTCATATAACTACAAAAATGTCAGTTGTTTTGGGATAATTGATAATTTGATATGGGATAAGAGATCAAAACTGTAAAATTCCCAACATGGTTATTTACCAAATCAATTTATAATTACTAAAGCAACAGATTAACATAAATAAATGATCGCTTCAAAATAGTATGAAATATTGACTAGAATATAAAATGAAAATAACTCTTTATCAATTTTGGTGCGTCCTAGACGCTTTTTTTTTTAATTTACTGTCATAAGGAACGCTCTAACCAAAACATTTGAAAGCGAAGGATGTATAAGACCTAAACCTGTGAAGAGCTATGTAACCAAATAATTTAATTTTGGATGTAACACGTCTTTTGATTTGCTGACAGTGTTTTGTCTATCAGCTCATAGACATAATTTTGTCATGTAACCGTGACGTCATCAACGTTTTTTCACGATTTACCCCGGCTTAAAATGGAATTTAGAATTAAATTATAAGGAATGACTGTAATATTTTTCTGTCTATTCGAAATAACATAAAAAATGTGGTGCACACTTTAAAATATTTATTCAGTGTGCGGCACATTTTTTATGTTATTTCTTCATAGACAGAAAAAATATTACTGTCATTCCTTAAAAGGACATAAAAATAGCTAAATTCCTCAAAAATCGACGTTGCCTGATGCAGACCAATTGTACAAAAACACCCCACAATAACAAATATGCCAATATCTCAATACAAAAATACAATAGTTGTGTGTGTTCTCTAAAAGATTTTAGGAAGGTCACATATATATGTACCGTAGATAGAACATGTTGTTTGTAGCGACTGTTCAAACTGTTAACCGAAAGCAGGCATTTTTTTTAACGAAAAATGAACTTTTCTTAATTTGATAGAAATTTTTTATATTATACGTCCATTTAATGAAATACAATTCATTCACAAATATTTCAGTTCAGCAGTATGTTTAAAGTGTAAGACAAACATTAATACCTTCATTTTAAGACTTTCAACTGTATCAAATAGACACTTAGTAACCAATCAAATATACTATATATTTTTTTTAAGATAAAATATAGTCGACTGTAAAAAAAACTTTGCAATATCTATATGCGCGCCCCCGTGTTGTTAATCATACTAATGTAAAAAAAACTCTTGGCATCTTTCGAGCTAAAAGTTGTATATCAATTACACAAATTAATATTTGCCCAGACAAATATCTTATTTGAATATTATAACATAAAAGGTATTTTCAACATGTGATGATATCCTGCACTCTATGAAAGGTTGTAATTATGCATTGTGGAACCATTTCCGTGAGGTCAGACTAGACATTTGCAATTAAACTTTCTTTTGTTTCTGTTTTGCTTAATGTAGATATTTTTGCAATCAGAATGTTTTATTTTGTGCATGTGTATTATATCTTTTATGCATTCATGTAATTTTTATGCAACTTAAATAGTACTTGATTGGTTAAATGTTATGTTCTCATTACGTCATTGAGGGAATTTATACTTATTTTTACGTTGTACAATATGGTTTGATAAAGAACAAGAGTAACATTGAAAAAAGGACCTTTTAACGAGGATTTATGTCAAAGAATAAATGAAAAACCGTACAAATTACAAATCAAGGTTCATTTTATTTATTTTTTACAAACCACCCCTTTTCATTACATATCATAAAACTTAGATCGAGTCTAAAATGTTATCCGAAATTTTAAGCTAACTCTTTAGAAAAAAAAATGTTTTATATTCCAGTTATAACGATTACTGCTTATTTTTTAGGTTTCGTCGAATCTCAAAACATGGCAACATTTTTGGTGCTTACAACTGTAGCCATATTGGCTGGCGTTAACGCCTATGGGATGAAAAAGATGCCACCGCCAATGGAAATGATGCCAATGAAGCCTATGATGCCGATGGAAATGATGGGCGGAATGGGCGGCAAAGATGGCATGATGGAAATGATGGGTGGAATGGGCGATAAAGGTGGCATGATGGACATGATGCCAATGAAGCCTATGATGCCGATGGAAATGATGGGCGGAATGAGCAATAAAGGTGGCATGATGGAAATGATGCCAATGAAGCCTATGATGGAAATGATGGAAATGAAAGATAAAATGATGGAAATGATGAAAATGAAAGAAATGATGGACATGATGAAAATGAAAGAAATGATGGAGATGAAAGGAAAGATGGAAATGATGCCTAAAATGATGGAAATGATGCCCAAAATGGATATGATGCCAATGAAAATGGATATGATGCCTAAAATGATGGAAATGATGCCAAAAATGGAAATGATGCCTAAAATGATGGAAATGATGCCAATGAAAATGATGGAAATGATGCCTATGAAAATGATGGAAATGATGAAGCCTGATATGCCAATGCCAATGAAAATGAAAATGATGGAAATGATGAAGCCTGATATGCCAATGCCAATGAAAATGAAAATGATGGAAATGATGAAGCCTGATATGCCAATGCCAATGAAAATGATGGAAATGATGCCAATGAAAATGATGGAAATGATGCCAATGAAAATGATGGAAATGATGAAGCCTGATATGCCTATGCCCATGCCAATGAAAATGATGGAAATGATGAAGCCTGATATGCCAATGCCAATGAAAATGATGGAAATGATGAAGCCTGATATGCCAATGCCAATGAAAATGAAAATGATGGAAATGATGAAGCCTGATATGCCAATGCCAATGAAAATGAAAATGATGGAAATGATGAAGCCTGATATGCCAATGCCAATGCCAATGAAGAAAGGAGGATATTAAAACACGATTCTTCAAACTGATGAATATTTACATATTATATTAAATTAAAACAGTTGTAGATAAGTTGCGAAATAAATGTATATATCATTCATAATAAAGTGTTGTTTACTGTTTTCAGTTACTACTTAGTAAACGAATGACAAATTTGGAAAGTCGTACAAATGGAAATAAAATAGATAAGATTACATGGCTAAGTGAGCTTAACATTTCGTAACCATTTACCCCTAACAGGTCACTTCCGTCTATGAACATGCCGGCAGTAGCTCGGGACAAGCGACAGACATTTGTGAAATATATTCTGCAAATGAGAGGTTTATATTCGTCACTAACAAATTGAAAGTTAATTTTGGTGTCCTCCACATGCAATATTTTCTATACTATGGGTTGTCTGTTTTGCCATCGTGTTGTTTGTATTTCTTCGAATTATGTTGTTTTTATATTCCCCCAGTATCATCTTCTCTTGATTGACTTGAAAAATTTGCAAAAATATAGATTGACCTATCCAAAGGCCGTACATCTTTCATATGATTCCTTTTGTTTGCAAAAAGTTAAAAAACTCAAAAGAAAATTCAAAACGGAAAGTCCCTTATCGAATGGCAAAATCAAAAGCTCAAACACATCAAACGAATGGAAAACAACTGTCGTAATCCTGACTTGGTACAGGCATTTCCTTATGTAGAAAATGTGCGACCAAAGCAAACAGACATAGTAGATAAAAATGTCAAAAAATGGGGTCCAGCAGTCAACATAATGTTATAATCTTAATCACTGTAAAATAAATTTATAATCCACAATCTGATTTAGTTGATACAAAGATACACTTAGTACCCATGTACACATTAATTCCAAATGGAGTGAGACAATGTGCCTTGACAAGGCAAACACATCCTGCTACATGTAATATAAAAATGAAAAGCTGTTGTATGCTTGCCAATGAGACAAATATAAACCAGGGACTAGATGAATCACATGCAAGTACCTATTGGTCACTGTACGGCCATCAACAATTAGCAAAACCCATACCGTATAGTAAGCTGTACAAGGCAGCATTGATTTGACAAAATGGAAAACGATTCAAACGAGAAAACCAAAGACCTGTTTTCTGCACAAACAATAAATATGACAGACAGCAACCTGCAAGAAAAGGTCTGAATTACCGGCTCCTGACTTCGGACAGGCATATAACGAATGTTGCTGATTTTAAAATGTTTGAGAGCGTTCACCCCTTTCAAAAGCTGGAACAGTGGAGTTAAAGTACATCATACGAACAAACTGTAAATTGTAGTTGAAAAGGCTTCATCAGATCGACACAAAGCACACAAACAACTAATAAAAGACTTCGGAGACAAAGTATCACATTAAGGGTACACGAAACTGTATAATACACAAGTAATGTAACCATCGACACGAAGTAAGACGTAAATGTTCATAAATGTATAGGAACATATATTTACATATGTTTTAATTTATCAATAAACAAAATCAATTTTAGTACCGATCAAAAAATTTATAACCATGTTAGATTGATAACCCTTTAGAATAAGTTTATTCATGGATCGTATCGAAATTGATGGGCTCTATAAAGAACATCACCGTAAAAATGAGGTTGTGATATCCCCATTGTCATCAGTTTTTCTAGAGGTTCGAAACACAAATTGTGTTGCTATGAAAGAAGTTAGTAAAGTTTTAAAGTAATTCATGGTAGCAGCGAAATCCTTGACGTTATAATTCACCAGTGATACATATGTTACGTTCATTGAAATCTATATATAACGTCACTTCAGATGCTAGAACAGCTAACGAATTGGAATATACAGTTTCTGATTGAAGGGATGCAATTGGAGTGCATAGAATTGTCTTCCATTTGTGTACAAACTTACGTAACTATATAATGTTGTCAAGGAGATATTTATAGTCTTTTTCATTTCTTTACACTTTCAGTAGTTATACCTAGCATATTTACCCTTTTCATTACAAAAGAACGTTTTGTAGTAACCAAAATTTCCATGTGTTGAAGTTGAAATCTTGCCTTCGAAAATTTTACAAACGCCATCACGAGTTGGTGACTGTTATTGAATATCTGTTTCATAGATGACGATGATGTAACCACAATTCGGACCACTATTCCTCGAATGTGACCTACCGAACTAGACTGATCATCGTTTTGTACTTTCATGAGCAACACGTCGGATGCAACATGTGAATGCGGGTTTTTTACCATTCCGGATCGCCAGAGATCACCCCAATTTTTTTGTTGTTGCTCAGTCTGTATTTTTCTATGTATTCTGTTGTTTGTCCTTTCGTCATTTTTCGTCGTTTTGTCTTGACATTGTTAGTTTGTTTTCGACTTATAAGTTTGAACATTTGTTCGTTATTCTTCGCTCTTTTACATGAGTTTCTGAAAATACATTTGCTATCACATTTTTTAGAGGACCATTGAATCAAATAAGAAAAAAGAGTTTGATCAGATTGTATTGGAGTGTAGTGGTGAGAGAGTCATAACTGTCAACCTAACTGAAAGGACGATCAAAATCACATAATTGATCTAAAACACTAAAGAATTTTTCACTCTCCACAGTTCATCATTGTCTGACTAAATACAATAAAAAGAACAGTCGATGTTAAACGAAGGAAAAGCCTGTATTCTATGTTTAAGATTTTTGAATATAAGATGAAATATAACGTATATAAAGTGGATAAACGATGCTGTTATATGTATTTATTATAAGTCATAAAACAATATGGATATATATACATATATACATAGAAACATATGCAAACCTACTTTCAAAATATAAATAATCAAACTGACTAAAAGATTTAACAGGCGACCAGAAGAATGTTATCATGCTGAGTGAAGTACTATTGGAAAAATTCCCGCGAACCATGCCAAAAAGCGGAAAAACCAAAACGTCATCTATACATACAAACAATGAAAACACTCCGGAGAAATAAATTTCATTCTTATTCTCTTTGTTCAACCGAATGAAATTACAAAGATCCTTAATAGAAGTAGGAGAACGAGTTAAAAAGATGGACAAATAAGTTGTACAATACTTACAAGAATCCGAGATTAAACGAGATTTGACGATTTTTGTGTGTAGTTCAGGTAGCTCGCATAGTAGGGCATTCGAATGATCATAGGAGGCCTTTATTTAAAATATAACTTTATAAATGTTGTGCAATTCCTGATATATGGTTAATTGTATATCTGTTCCCTATATAATAATATGATTTATTAATTTCAACATATGCATTTACTGTCAAAATAGCAAAAAGGCGAGACATGTTTCTGTTTGAACATTATTAGTTTCTGAATTAAAGATCTGGCCCGATAAATTATGAATATTGATTAGAAATCAAATCTCTATGAACATCAGGCAAATTTGTGGTTTAATTACAGGTTATTGAATCACATGGAACAAAAATTTGCAAAATACGTATTTCGGTAAACATTCATTGCTATCTGATTTGAACAGAAAAGACAAGAGTCACTTGTTTTGGCTATTATTGAAATACATTTTTACTTTGAGAAGAATCTTGTAACCAAAATCAGCATGTTGTTCTTTCAATATTCATTGTCACCTTGAACAGAACATTTAGTACTTAATCGTAAGTTTATAACATTTTTCATTATGTATTCATTGAGGCTTAGTTGTGGCTTTTGTAAGATTAAATCTTTTCCATTGGTTAAATTTATGAGATAATGACACAGGCCCTTTTGCAATTACAAAACTTGAAGTTATACGCAGATATTCAAAGGCAAGGAATGAAGAAGTTAAGTAACAAACATATGTAAATGAATAATTCAGTCTCATTTCATACATAATTTTGTAATGAACTAAGCATCGCAACGCCGCTAACCACCTTTGACTGGAATAGTAGATATGCTATGAGTTTTGAGATTAAGTGTAGACCAAGAATGAAATTTACACGAAGGAAAGTTTTTGCTTATATACAATATTTGGACAAAAGTACTATGCATTTTATAATTGAAACACTTTCCAAACAAATATCTTTTTGAAATTTTGCTGTTTTTCGAAAAGTATAAAAACAGGTCAAAATCAAACTGAAAGATCTCAAAAGTAAATCATAAATGTATATGTGTCATTATAAAAACAACATGCAAATATATGTGATTGGTCTTTTTTTTTGTCACAGACATGACACTTTATCAAGATAACACTTTTATATGTTAGCTATTAATGTTTACTGATACAATTTATACAGTTTACAGTATGAAATGTTATAAGCGATATCCTTAATGTTTTCTGAAACCCTTGGATATAGCCAGAAATAACTGTTATTTTTTCATATAGTACCTTTCAGACCTTAAATATGACTATAATGCATATCCTTTTTTTATTAGGATTTATCACTATTTATTGCATTTTGATATATACAAACAATTTTTATTAATTAAGAAAGTGTATGTTGGTTTTATAATAAAAATTTAAATAAAAAGAAGAGTCTCATTTTTTTTAAGTCACTGGTGTAACCAAAAGACAAATTGGTTGGGTAAGAGTGATCTTTCTCAAGATTTCAGCATTTACATTAGCTTCTCCCCTAGCAAAAGTACCTGTAAGCATGTAATGCAGACGACAAAAAAAAAATCTGTGTTGAAAATTAGTGAAAAAATCTTTAATGTAAGTAAAAACTGTATCGTAAATGAATTTGGTGTCCATGGTGTACCCTTATAAAAATCATTTTCCAAAAGATTTCCTGAACTTGATTTATGAAAATATATTGGTTGTAGACACATGCACAGGAACAACATATAAAATAGGGGTAGAAAGCACTTAATTGGCAACTAAATCTAAAAATACACCTGTACGACGTTGGTGTTACTGTCAATGGTGAGACCACTTTAATAAAGTAACACCATTGACCAGTTTAGTAACACGTCTGAATATATTATGACAATCAGCATTTTTTTGTGTATTTTGCATGTTTAGCAACGGAAACATCATACTTTTTATGAAATATAATACTTACTTAACAATATTTTAACAATAAAATGTATTGACTATACCAAGTTTTCACAAACTGGTATATGCTGGTAACACATATTAAGTAACACTATTGAATTTTTAGTTATTGATGTTATGTTATATAATTTGGGATGTTTTAGCCTAAGAATTAGTTTTTTTTTTCTTTTCCTTTTGCTTAGTGTTCTTTGTTTTGTGTTCAGTACTTTATATAAAAGTGAAATTTGATTTTGTTGTCAATGGTGATACTTTTGTGTCATTTTAGTTACTAAAGGGTCAGTGGTGTTACTATATACACATGCAATAATTCTTATTTTTTTATAATTAAATACAAGTTTTTTTATGCTGTATACGAAGGATTAGACATTGTCTAATCATTCAGCCTTACACATTTTACATATATTCAGTTTTAGTGTATTATTTAATATTAACAACAACCATAATTAGGACAGCTACGTTTTTTACAATAATTTATTCTGAAATTTATGTTCAATTATAATGCATACCTATAAAAATGATGTCAATAAGTAGTAATTTAAACCTTAACCCAAAAATTGGAACAGTTGTTTGGTACTTAAAAATATTTGTAATAACTTAAAGCTTGTTTTTATATTGGTAACTTCATTGACATGATTCTATCAAAGGATGACCTTAAAATTGTGAAAATTGAAGGGACTCCTAATTTTGTCCATTGCATATTTCTGAATATAGCCTGCTACCATATTTCAGAATAGCAGGACATATTTAAATTTTTAAAACAATATCATCAGTTTTCCGAAACATCCCTAGTCAAAATATGCATGTTTTTTTATAATGACCCATATTTGTCTTTGTGCATTTCAATCTTACTGAAAAAATGGACATATTGTCAATTTTGAAGAATAAACAATGAGAAAACTTTTCTGTATCGTATGCCCTTTTTGTCTTACCACATAGTTTTCAAGAGGGACATATTTGTCTCCATGACATAAACGACTACATGCACCACCACAATAATTGCTCCTTCATGTTAGAAAAGAATATTTCAAATCATTTGCAAAAGAATTTAAGAATGATACGAATCAAATGGCGTTAAATGTAGATATTTACATTTATAACACTTTTACACCATGTACTTTAGTATTCATTTCTATGAATTAAGAAAGCTGTGGGAAATATGTCAATGAATTAAAAACGCAATGAAAAAGCATGTTATCATATGAACCCTAACATAGTAGTTGTATCATCTGTAGTATTCATTTTATGATGTGAAAAAGATTATGTATTATTTGACAAAAAAGGTGTCAGACATAGCTATCGTGTATTGCCTATTACATAATTTTGATGAAAATAAAAGTCGAGGAATATTTTTAATAAAACATATGTTTTATTACGTAATGAGCTTAATTAGCAAAAATTATAGGTTGCATAAATAGGCGAATGTTAATGGAAGCGATCGCAGAACTTTCCTTGGCTTTCCATCGATACAAACTTGCCGCCTAGGGAAAACTCAGGTAAGAAATTACATTTCTCATTATCAACCTTCAGTATACCACATAAATTGGATGGGTGCGACTATCGTCCTGATAAGAGAAAAATACAAAGATATGGGATTTATATTCATATAAAATGGATTTTTGTTCGGTTTTAATAATAATCTAAAGTAATAACACCATTTTTGTTTCAAACTTTAATCAAACGCTCAATACTAAGAAATTTTCAGACAATTTTTGGTCATACATACATAGACATACATAGACCTTTAGTTCACGACCTAATACAATTGTATTCCATACAACATGTACAAAGGACTTATTCGTCATAGTCCCTTTTGGTCCTGTAAATACTCACGTATTCCAGTATCTATTCATCCTGGGATTTCAGAGCATCCTCAGGGTGTTTTTGATTATGTGATTACTTAGCCGTTTTTATAGTGATTATTTGATTACCAGACCAAATATTTCATGATTTTTTTATTATTTGTTAATCTAGGACTGTGTTTTTGATTATTTGAATATCTTGTTTGAAAAAATGATTAATGATTATGTGATTACTTTGACACCCCCATGCGGGGCATCAGGTATCTATTTATCTGCCCTTTGGTCGGGTTGTTGTTTCTTTGACACATTCCTCATTTCCATTCTCAATTTTATACTTGGATTTCAAACGTAAAGGATTGATCTTTCCTAATGACGATACATCCAGAAGGGCGTTTCGGACGCACCAATTTAATGCAACTGTTATTTCATTATAAAAAACCGAAACATTTGAAAGTGTAAAATTTATAACATTGATTTTTACCATGAAAACGTTTTACGACGGATAAACATACTGTAAATTCAGAAATTATTGCGAGGTTTTTATTAATGCGAATAATGCGACTGTGTGAGTATCGCAATAATAAGAACTCGCATTCTGATATCTGATGCATATATCTGTATGCAGCTTTTCCTGAAATTGCAATAATTAATCTTGCATTTATGTCCATTCTTCAAAAATCGCAATAATAAATTCACGCAATAATTTCTGAATTTACAGTAAATAAGTGACTGCTTCAAACTAAAATTAAATCATTATTAGAATATTAAATGAAAATAAAAACTATATTAATTTGGTGCGTCTGACGCGCTTTTTCCATCATGCTGATTTACTTTCATAAGAAACAATCAAACACAAACATTAGAAAGCCAAGAATGTACAAGACCTAATCACATGAAGAGCTACATAACTATAAGGGACCTTAAAAAGCTATTTTTTACAAGATCAAGTTTGCCAGCAGTAGTCAAACAATAACCAATATGCCAATATCTCAAATACAATAAACACAATAGTTGTGTGAACTTTCTAAAAGCATTTAGCAATGTCACATATATTTTCCTGTAAATGAAACATAGTATTTGCAGCAAATGTAAGGACAGTTTTTAACAGCTGAAAGTAGTAAATCTTTAAAGGTAAAGTAAATTTTTCTAAATTTGATAGAATAAACTATTTTTTATGTTATATCTTAATTTAATAAAATATAATTCATACGCTAATATTTCGGTTCAGCAGTATGTTCAAAGTATACGACAGACATTATTATCTCCATTCAAAACTTACAATCGTATCAAACAGACACATGGTTATCAATCGAAAATACTATATAATCTTTAAAGATAAAAAATATTCAGCTGTAAAAAATGACAGTGAAATATCTGTCCATGCCATCCTTCCGTATTTGTTAACCAGACTAATGTACAGAACATTTGGCTACATTCGAGATAAAAATGTATAAACATTTTCTAAAGTTAACATTTGCCGATACAAATGTCGACTTTGAAATCGACATAGGAAAGATATATACACTACATGAACGTAACATTATTCGGCATTCTATTATTAAACCATTGATGTTTGGTCAGCCTAAACAAATCTTCAACTGTTGTTCCAGTTTTTACAATAATCGCTTTTTAAACTAGTCTCTGAAATGCAGTCACTTAATCATGTATAATGTTTCACTTTATTCGTAAAATTTTAAATGCAAATTTGCTTTTTCAATAATATCTGTTCAAGAACGTTTACAGATTTACTTTTGCCGTTTGCAAATTACATTGACTGACAAATTCCACCTTCTGATCTATTAATAATTTGCCTTTTTCGTTCATCGACAGGCCTTTTCAACTACCAACTTGGGTATTCTAATGTCAATTTCATATATGCACGAACATACCATTGCGTTTATGGTAAAATTTCATTTTATATAGAGTTACAATGGTTACAATATATTTTGTATAAATTCCAATTTATAGCGTCAACCGAGTCGTGTCAAAAAAGAGTTAAGTCAGCAAATATCAATTAAAAAATATATATATATCGCAAGCAACTATATCCATGCATATTTGTGAAATAGTGAAACCGGAAGGAAATGATGAAGAAAATTTTAAAACAATTTAATGTCTTGATCGACTTTATGTAAATATTCATATTGAATATAAATATTTAGTGCATTTTCAGTCTTATGTTTTTTCCCATACATATATAAGTACATGTATATGGACATGTTTGACATTAAGTATATATATGCAATAAAGGAGATCGTATACTGTAAGTTGGTAGCGTTGAGGTGAAGATGATTTGTAGATATAATTGACACATTTGTAGGTAAAATGTCGATCCTCAGCATTTTTTTTTTATTCTTTTTTTCGCATATATTAAATAATTTTTGCAATGAGAATGTATCGATCTTGTGTTTGCTTGTAACATGTTTTCCCGTAAAAGAAACATGTTAATTGCAGCAAATGTAAAGACAGTTAACTAGAAGCAGTAAATGTTTCAATGGAAAATTTACTTTTCTAAATTTGATAGAATAAAATACAATAATATTTTATGTTCAGCAGTTTAGTCAAAGTGCTAGGCGGACAGTCTTATCCTCATTGAAAGACCTCCAACCGTATCAAACAGACACATGGTTATCAATCGAAAATACAATATAATCTTTTAAGATCAAATATATTAAGCTATAAAAAAAAAGATTGCAATATCTATCCATGCCACCTTTCAGGTTTGTTAATCAGACTTATGTACAGAACATTTGGCTACTTTCGAGATAAAAAATGTATGGAAATTTCATATCCTAAAACGTAAATCGAAAATAGCTGTTTGGATTATTTATTTATTCTACTAGTGACGTATTCTTTTTGTTTTTCAGGATTCGTCGTGTCTCAAATCATGGCAACTTTAATCGTACTTATAACTGCAGCCATATTGGCTAGCGTAAATGCCTATGCGATGAAAAAGATGCCACCGCCAATGGAAATGATGGGCGGAATGGGCGGCAAAGGTGGCATGATGGAAATGATGCCAATGAAGCCTGAGATGCCGATGGAAATGATGGGCGGAATGGGCGGCAAAGGTGGCATGATGGAAATGATGGGCGGAATGGGTGATAAAGGTGGCATGATGGACATGAAGCAAATGAAGCCTGAGATGCCGATGGAAATGATGGGCGGAATGGACGGCAAAGGTGGCATGATGGAAATGATGCCAATGAAGCCTATGATGATGGAGATGATGCCGATGAAAATGATGGAGATGAATGGTAAAATGGATATGAAAGGCAAAATGATGGAAATGATGAAAATGAAAGAAATGATGGACATGATGAAAATGAAAGAAATGATGGAGATGAAAGGAAAGATGGAAATGATGCCGAAAATGGATATGATGCCAATGAAAATGGAAATGATGCCTATGATGATGGAAATGATGCCACAAATGGACAAAATGCCTAAAATGATGGAAATGATGAAGCCTGATATGCCAATGCCAATGCCCATGCCAATGAAAATGATGGACATGATGAAGTCAGATATGCCAATGCCCATGCCAATGCCAATGAAAATGATGGACATGATGAAGCCTGATATGCCAATGCCCATGCCCATGCCAATGATGAAAATGATGGAAATGATGAAGCCAGATATGCCAATGCCCATGCCAATGCCAATGAAAATGATGGACATGATGAAGCCTGATATGCCAATGCCAATGAAAATGATGGACATGATGAAGCCTGATATGCCAATGCCAATGCAGATGAAAATGATGGACATGATGAAACCTGATATGCCAATGCCAATGACCATGCCAATGAAAATGATGGACATGATGAAGCCTGATATGCCAATGCCAATGAAAATGATGGACATGATGAAGCCTGATATGCCAATGCCAATGAAAATGATGGACATGATGAAGCCGGATATGCCAATGCCCATGCCAATGCCCATGCCAATGCCCATGCCAATGCCAATGAAAATGATGGACATGATGAAGCCTGATATGCCAATGCCAATGAAAATGATGGACATGATGAAGCCAGATATGCCAATGCCCATGCCCATGCCAATGAAAATGATGGACATGATGAAGCCTGATATGCCAATGCCAATGAAAATGATGGACATGATGAAGCCTGATATGCCAATGCCAATGAAAATGATGGACATGATGAAGCCTGATATGCCAATGTCAATGCCAATGCCAATGCCAATGCCCATGCCAATGCCAATGCCAATGCCCATGCCAATGAAAATGATGGACATGATGAAGCCTGATATGCCTATGTCCATGCCAATGAAAATGATGGACATGATGAAGCCTGATATGCCAATGCCCATGCCAATGAAAATGATGGACATGATGAAGCCTGATATGCCTATGTCCATGCCAATGAAAATGATGGACATGATGAAGCCTGGTATGCCAATGCCAATGCCAATGCCAATGATGAAAGGAGGATATTAAAACACGATTCTTTATACTGATGAATATTTACATATTATTAAAATCTAAAACAGTTGTAGATAAGTTTCAAATAAATGCATATCATAACATTGATAACGGATTTTTGTTCACTCTTAAGTCATGTCTTAAAAAATAATCAGTAGAGTCGTACAAGATAAAGTCATTTGAAATATTTGGGCTTTTCTGGTTAAATAGGTTCAATCCCAATTATTGTCACATTAACCAATGATGTCTGTTTTGGTTGCTCTTCCAATTTTTTCACTATAACGGAATTATAAACAGCTGTCATACTAGTGGGAGGTTTAGCTTAATATAGAACTAGGTTTAACCCACCTTTCTTTGCGAAAAAAAGCCTGTAACAACTTAAGAGTATGACAGTTGTTGTCCATTCATTCCATTGGTTTGATATAGTCTAACGTTTGACTTTATCAGTTTTATGGACACCTACTTTCTAAATATACCTTGGAGTTCGGTATTGTAGTTAACAACTTTTAAGATTTTGTCATTATCAACCTCCTCAGTTTGTCGAACCAACGGTACTGATGTTTGACAAACTTTTTCTATTGGCCATGCTGAATTTATCTTCTTCTCTCATAGTGTTTGTCTGCCTCCCTGGATATTATTTCGTTTGAAGCTTATGAAATCTAATGAAAAAAGTAAAACAAAAATACTGAGCTCCAAGGAAAAATTTAAAAAAAAGGAAGTCCATAAAAACTGACTTAACCAAACACTATCAATCAACGGAACAAGTGAAAAGCAACTGCCATATTCCTGACTTGGTACAAGCATTTTCCGAAGAACATGGTAGGTTAAACCTGGTTTAAAGCCAGCTTGCTTGAAATTACATATAATAAGATGTGATAACCTTAACTTAACAAACAAAAAAATATTAATTAAAATTGAGCAACAAAAACCAAACATGGAAATACCTAATTATTAAAATGACTCTAATGCAAAAGAGAGGCGAACGATACCAAAGGGACATCCAAATTCATAAGTCGAAAATAAAATGACTACTCCATGACAAAAAAACAAAGAAAAAGACAAAAAGACGAACAACATCACACAACACACAGCATAAAAAAATAAAGACTGAGCAACACCAACCTCTCAAAAACCGGAACGGTAAGCAGATCCTGCTCCACATGTGGTACCCATTGTGGTGTTCATTCCTTACCAAAGAAAAGTATACGGTTGTTGGTGTGATCAGTTATACTCTCTACGGTGTTTTCTGTTAGAATTGTCATGTAATGATCAGTACGATCAAACAATCTTTTATAAATAAGCATGTTACTAAAAGATTTAAAGACTTTGCATAGGTTTTGAGAGCTATTTTACAGATATTTAAAACAACTCATCAACTTAGCAAGACAACCACAATTTGATTACTGCTTAATGTGTGTAAATTAAAACAACTGCCACCAATACATAGCTAGATACCTATGCAAATAGTTTATTATAAACCCATGCGATATTTCAACGATTGCCACATTATGTTATTTTTTTAACAAGGACTAGCTAATGTTTCAGGAACTTATAACTTCTTCGTATTTCTTGAATAATGGTCATGGAACACCAATTAGACAAAATGTTTAGTGCCAAAAATATAAAACTTTACATAACCTTCATAAATTGTCCGTTTATAAATTGATATATTATCAAGAAACTAAGGTCTCAATTCCACCAGACAAGGTTGACCTTCGATAGATTTGGCTAATATTCTATGTCCGTTTTTTGTCATTAAACTCTTAAACTTTTCCGATTATTAAACTTCCTTAGGTTTCAAAATATTCGAATTAAAGCATTTAAGGTAAATCGAGAAATAGATATAAAACGATGTGGTATGAGTGCCAATGAGACAACTCTCCATCCAAGTCATAATTTATGAAAGTAAACCCTTATAGGTCAAAGTACGGTCTTCAACAAGAAGCCTTGGCTCACACAGAACAGCAAGCTATAAAGGGCCCCAAAAATTACTAGTGTAAAACCATTCAAACGGGAAAACCAACGATCTAATCTATCTTAAAAACGAGAAACGAGAAACACTAATGAACCACATCAACAAACGACAACTAATGAACATCAGATTCCTGACTTAGGACAAGTGCAAACAATTGCAGCGGGTTGTTATGCGTCTAAAAGATATTTAGACACATAACTTTTATGTAGTCTTATTTTCATGTGTTAAAGAGTGCATAAAAACCAGAAGGACTACACAAAACAGCCGCAATTGTCTATTTTCAATATGAAGTTGAAACCTGGGTTTGACCAATAATTACATTGTTCTATTGACTAAACATTTACAAAGAATGTGTATCACTCAAATCATCGACAAAAAATTTACATCTGTCGCGTGCATGTTTCGCAATTATCCATAGAGCATATTAAATGTAGAGTTACGTAGAATGGAGCGGGACGAATATAAACTCGGCGTCATTAATTGACTTGTGACAAAAATACGATAAAGCAAAATATATAAAACATTCGAAAGCATTAAACCCCCAGCGACAAAAATTATATGGTCATCTTTGCCTTGGGAGTGTATTCTTAATTTTAGCTGAATTTCACACTTTTTTTGAACTTGAAAATTATAATGCCTGTTTAAAAGAATTTTCGACATCGTGGATGGTTTCTTCGTGGACCAGAAGTCCACTAGCAGGAGCACGGAATAACAGGCAATTAAAAAAACCCATGATATAATTGATTGGTAATTAACGCCACTTTCAGCGGTATTGGCTACTACATGGCGGTCAGTTTTTTATTGGTGGAAGAAGCTTGTTGCCTGGATAGAACAACCGACCTTTGACAATCCTAGTCAATTAAGATTGGAGTCGAGCGTGTTTTGAACTCACAACTTCAGTGTTGACACGCTGGTGATACAGTTGTTGGACTGCATAGATCACTAGGCCTTCAAGCCACCTCATTATATGAGATCATTAAGCACAACATGTTTGTCCAGACTAGCCTCTCTTTTTTTCGTTATAATAAGGTTGGAATGGAAACAAATTGACGTAAAAGGAACACAAAACACCCCTGTCAAAGCTGATCTGGCTAAAATAAACCTTGCCTTGGTGATTTCCTACCATAGTTTGAGCTCAAATGCACATTTGTTTGAACAGAAAATTTTACAAGTAAACTATCATTAATAAATCAAGCCAGAACCGAATTACTGGTGACTGCGTTGATGGTTCCCCCAGGAAACCAGCAGCGATATTGACAAAGCAGTAGGTATGTGTTTAACCATGTCCATTCTTCCGGTGGTCAATCATTTAAAAAGTACATTAGAGAAGTACTAGCATATCACTAAAACAAACAATATTCTAAAGTCTAGGTACAAGTTAAGTACAAGCAACATCATAAGCTTCAAATCAAATGAAAAACCCTATAAATGATACCAGGCTTATAATTGTGCATGTCAGACGCCAGTTGGTCTACAAAGTACACACCAGTGACACTCAAATCAAAAAAGTTAAAAGGCTGTGAATGTGTAACCTGTTATATATAGGCAGTAAACTTGACAACATCAAGAATAATTTAAGACGGACAAAAAACTGACTTTAGGATCCTTAGCAGAAAGCATATATTATATCAACACTCGTTTTTTTTGGTATGCGTAATGAACGTATCACAACTTAATTTTGTAGTTTTGAACATATAATATGTCTTTCTACGCAAGACTGGGAGGTTGACATTATAAAAACTTACATGTTACATCATCAAATCTGTCCTATTTCATATATGTTTGTCGTTCATCGGAATAAATCTGCGTACATTTTATAAGTTATGAACAGACCATGAAGATTCGTTTGTATCTTTAACATAATTAAGAATTAATGAAAATATGTTTTAATTTTAAACTGCACGAAAAACTTGGGATTATCCTATATCATTATCAGTGCATACTCAGCTGCAAGGCTATAAACTCAAAACTAAAGCCCTACATCTTCAAAGTTTTATGAAGTGTTTTTATCCCGCAGTTTTTATTGAAAAGCTTTTATAATCATACTTAAGGTACATTCGTTGTCAGTACGGATGGTAACCATGCAGCATAAACAGTTGTGGTGTTCTTTGTTCTGTATACATTCAGTTATATAATTAGTTCGCTATCATAAGACATCCAATTAAAGGAAATAAAGACTCACCACCAAATTTACAGGGGTAATACGATAGGTTTAACTAGTTGGGAAGTAATTTTTCATGCTCCATGGGCATGTCAGGAAAATTGATGAAATTTGTGTTGCTAAAACTCTAATTTTCCGTTTTGTTTAGTCAGACTGTGCAGGGTTGTCATAGTGTGTTTCACTTGTAGACACATGGTCTAGACAGGAAGAAGAAGCGAAAAGTGTGGAAAGCTTGTTCAACGTCAACACATTATTTGCTTTTACCAAGCAATGATATCTGCGTTGAATGTTGTTATTCTGTCTTTGTTAAATGGGTGTTTGGATTGCATTGGTGTATGTTATTTTTTGTTTGTTTGACGGATGTTACACTTGTCAGTAATACTGTCATTTTTTTTTTGGTTAATTCCTGTTTCCTTTTGAAAGGGTTTGTTTATATGTCTTGTTGTTTTTTTATTTGACTAAGGTGATCTTTGTCTTTTTGTATAACCACCCCTTCAATCTTCTTTCATTTTACAGATACAAAAGCGAATAATATTACGTGTTTGCAAGTTGTTTTTTTTACTAAAAAATAATAATTTTTGGTCGTGTGAAGTATCTTCTTTCCTTGAAGAAAACTTAACAGGAAGACCTTTCCACTCTACCCCTTTTCAGAAAAAAAATAGACAAGAAAGAAATTTGAAGCTTAAGATGAATCGGTATGTGCACCATTCATTCTTGAAATTAGTTTCTTTTCATCGTAAAATACATTTTCTTATTCACATTCTTTTGCACGCATAGATCCCTTTTCACACTGATCTAAGATTGCTAAGTTGGCTTCTTATAAACCTTTGTATGAATTGTCAATTGGAAGAGGTATATTGTTTTTATAATATAATCTACATAATGTGGTTATTAAAAAAAACATCAGACTAACGAAGGTGACAAATGATATTCTAACTTTTAGAAGTATGACAGTATGGTAAGCGCATGCCAGCAATAACACTAAAGAAAAGATATTTCAAATATGTTATCTGCTATCTGTTTTGTGCTTCATATGCATCAGTTTCCATTAAGCATACTATCATATATACCGATGGAGGAGACTTCTAACATCATCGTCAGCTTAAGACTTTTTGAAATAAGAAACAAATCTATATATGCTGTCAAATCTAACTAAATTTTATTGAAAGACAATACACTCTCTTCTTTATTTTTTGCAAGTGACTTTCGCACCGTTCACATACCATAAGTCGTGGCATGCTCCACAATATACAGGACTGAAAGAAGACAAAAAAGACATTTGTAATCGTGGACAAACATCAGTTTTTTTCATATAATCCTTAAACTATACTAGTACATGTCATTGCCACTACTGCTTATAGTCGAATTGATATGTAAAATGAATTGTAAGATTGAAGGAGGATCTGTTTACCCTTCCGGAGCACCTGAGATCACCCCCAGTTTTTGGTGGGGTCCGTGTTTCTCAATCTTTGGTTTTCTATATAGTTTTGTGTACTGTTGTTTGTTTGTCTTTTTCTTTTTTAACCATGGTGTTGTCAATATAAAAAAGAAGATGTGGTATGATTGCCAATGAGACAACTCTCCACAAAAGACCAAATGACACAAAAATTAAAAACTATAGATCAGCGTTCGGCCTTTAACAATGAGCAAACCCCATACCGCACAGTTCGAAATGACAATGTAAAACAATTAAAACGAGAAAACTAACGGCCTAATTTTTTTACAAAAAATGAACGAAAAACAAATATGTAACACATAAACAAACGACAACCTTTAAATTACAGGCTCCTAACGTGGGACAGGCACATACATACAGATGTACTTTCGATTTATGAGTTTGATTGTCCCTTTAGTATCCTTCGTCTTTCTTTTGAAACGCTCACTTTTACACCAGACGTACATTTCACGTTTGTTTTTTTTCGTTTTATTAATTGTAGCATTAAAAAAAAAGCAGTATTCTAATAAATCAAATGTTGCACACATTAACCTTTGATATATGCGATTGAGTAAACTAATATACGTACAAATTGTTAGTGTGGGAAGCTAGATTCATTTTCTGTATAGCATGTTACCTTTCATAAAATTATATGAATTCTATATCTTGGTAAACAAATAAATAATTCGAAAAACGACGTCAGAATATATAAAAAACGTATCTTGTCAATCCGTCAGTCATACCACTATTGTCGCTCGTGTACTATTTTTATCAATTATTATAATTCCTATTGTGAACGTTAAATGATGGTTTACTTGATTTGAAACCATACATTGATTATATGATAAGAACATTTGGGACCAATTAGTGTGGTTTTATTTGGTCAATACACGTGCTTCTTGAATGCAAAAAGTTAAATCATCATGTAAGAGTAGATATTTTACTTACCAACACTTAGCGTTTGGATAGCCTTTACAGCTTTTAAAACCACATGGATTTACACATTTCACTATACTAACTCCTGGTAAACAGTCAGTGCTATCTGGGCATTGGAATTCTACAGAAAAGACATAAGCGACCTGTTTTTTTAATTATCATTGATAAAGGCAACAGTTGTATACCACTGTTTAATAGTCATAAATCGATTTAACGAAAACACATATAATCCACAAACCAAAACCGAGGAAAACAACGGAACAACTGAAACACGAAACTGCTACAAAATCAAACGCCAACATACATAGAAACAGACTATTTGATAATAACTGCCATATTCCTGACTTGGTACAGGACATTTTTAGAATAAATGGTGGATTGAACCTGGTTTTATGGCTAGTCAAACCTCCCGCTTATAAGGCAATTTTAATAGTACCGCTAAAGTGACAACATTACGTACAAGAATACAGTACAAATAAACACAAGAACACTCAGGACAGAAAAATAGATTAATGAATAATATAATAGTACATTACAACAGGTAAACCACAGATTGACAACGGACACCTCTCATTAATTTACGACAGTTCACATGTAAACCACAAAAGAATTATGAACTCTGCGTCACATGAATGTACCAACGCCACAAAAAGTGACGTCACATGTAAATTTCTAAAAATACAATATAAAATTGAGATTAAGTTTGTAATGGTGTTATTCTATGTATTTTCTAACCATTACAAGAATATTGATATAGAATTGTGTTAGTAATGGTGTAATTATTTTTATTTTCTAACCATGTGTTCTTCTAAATAAAAACTGTGTAAAATACATCTGTATATTAATGAGATTATGTTAACAATTCCGATGACCTCAAGCATACGATAAATTTGAATATCTATTGATTTACTTTTTAGTTTAAGCTTCCCTGAAATTATAAATTTTATTATTTGATTATCTTAACTAATAACATAGACATCTTTGCATTTAAAAAAAAAACCAAAATGATTCAGTGTTTCTTTCAAGTTTTAAACGTGAAATTTCAAAAAATGTTGGATAACTGTGATATTCTTATTATAGATATGAGCCTTATTACTGATAATCGTAATCGATCATTAATCGATCATAAATCGATTACATAATGGATTTTTGTGTAATTGATTACTCTACTTTTTGTATGTAATCGATTACATTACTTCTTAATAACTGTCAATTGCATGCTACAATATAAAAACAGAATGAGAAAGCCAGTTTATTACAAATATGCTGCAAAATGGACATGGACCCTTGCAATCAATCAATTCTTTTTGTTGTAGATCTTTTTTGTTCAATATTTTGCACATATTTACTGAAATACTGACTTAAGCTTTGTGTTTTTTTTTATTCATTATTAACCGACATATTTGAATATATTTCGATCAAACAAGTACGTTATTTAAAGTTTCCTCTGCGATATACAGCTAATTTGATAGAATTAAAATTCAAATTATAATTACACTCATGTGTTTATCTTAGTGTTTTAGTAATCATCTTAATTACAGGTTAAAATAATGTCAATGGAGTAAAAACATGTAACCTTCGGCAATAATTTAGATCTCACACTAATTGGACATAATTGAAATAATAACAAAGTCTGCATGTCATTTCTTAAATATCTTTTATCATCTGATCTGCCTTCTTCATTCATATTTTTTTACTCATTTTTAGATTAACTAATCCCCTCGGTCATACTAGCTGATCTATGCTTTTTGATATCATGTCTAGTGCCCAATTCATTTTATTACTGAAAAAAATTGTTAACCATTGTTGACACATAAAAAGGTTTATTATGAAGGTTCTGTTGAATTGTATCTTTAACACACTTCAACTGTATAAGCACTGTATATCTGTATATCGCACGCGCGAAATATTAAAAACGACAGCAAGTGAGAGGTTTGATTTTATTCATATTGATCTAGTTGTGATTTCATTCAATAACAGATTATGAAAAATATAAAAGCAGATCTTACAACGTTATTTTATAGAAAAAAAACAACACGAAAACTAAGTTAATATGGTACATTAAATGTACATTCCAAAAATAGTTTAATTTTGTTTAGTAGTTGCACGAGCTTTATTGATAACCTACCACATCGCTCTGTTACGTCCATCAAAGAGCTACCACTGTCTTCATACCATAGACGTCTACATGCACCACCACAATAATTGTTCCTTGGAAAAGTAAATTACCATAGACATAGTTTAATCATTGACAACAGCGGCTAAGTAAAATATGAACTAAATGGCCTAAAATGGTCATGTATATTCTAAATTCATAATACTTTTAACTGAAAATAAAATAATATTTTTTTCAAGATACTCATAATTTTCTATCCTTAGGCATGGATGTCCTTAGCTGTATTTGTCACAATCTTAAAGGATTTTTATCTTCTATGCTACTGAACTTCGTACTTGCTTCGGCTTTCCAACTATTTTTATTCGAGCGCCACTAACGAGTTTTATGTAGACGAAACGCAAGACTAAGGTACAAAGCTATCCAAACTGCCAATGACATCAAAATTCTAAAACTAAACAAGCAATGAGGTCTGACATTAAACAAATACCGATAAGGATACAGACTTATAACAGGCGCCGGCATACTAGAACATGGTTGGGTTACATACATTTTTTGTGCCTCTCAGCCGTGCCCTTTAAATGATGGTCTGACGACTATGAAACGATAAATAAAAATCATGGATCAAAATTAGTGCATGTAAAGACCTTGACTCTAAAGTGGTGATATAGTACTCAGTATCTGAAAACAAAACCTCAATAACAAACTAAACAGAAAAAAATATAATTCTGCCTCAAGATTAGTCATGTTATTTAAAGCGAGTCGGGAGTGAATAATCTCTTAACAGATAAAATCATGCAATCCTTTTCTGGAATCTCAATTGCTTTTTAATTCAGGATTTCCTTCAAAAACAAAAATCAATATACAATTTTTCATTTGTTTTATTTTTTTCAAGTTCCATAGAATTTGTAATTGCTTTCACGAAGACCATATCGCCTTTTAATTTTTTACAAAATACCAAGAAGAAAAAAATTACCTGCATACAGCTCCCTCACACTGGTGTCCTTGACACGGGGTTTTTGTACACCGAAAATGAACCACTCCTTCTGGACATACTATGCATCCTGAAATATTTTGACAATGGTAACGTAGATATATTTGAAGTATTCTGATAAATATCATTCATAGAAGACATATTTCTACCATTTTTATTCATTAAAAACCAGTTGTCTGTTGAGAAACAGATTAATGTATTTTTTTTATCGGAAAGTAATAACTAAAGGATTTCAAAATGTTTCACTGTATAAGAATGCATAAATAAAGAAAAATCTTAAAAATCATGCATGACCTTCTGTTTTTGTTTTTAAATACAAATACAACTCTTAAATATGAATTCCAAAATAGACAGATTCAAATAATGAAATACTTACGATAAATGTATTTTAATTCCTTGTACAAGTTAGTTGTAAAATTGGATGAAATTGATAAATTGCCAATAAAAAAAAAAAAAAAAAAAACAAGATGCATTAGATATTATATTTGAGTTGGTCATGGTTGAGTATCAGTAAACTGGATTGTTTCACATATTTTATTCACATTTTTCATAAAACTGTGTAAGGACATTAACTTGTTTGGGACTCCATGAAATGCCCTCCTTGCTCTATTTCATATACTTTTTTTATCATTCAAAATTACTAGTCAAACTGTATCTTACAATGATCACAATTCTGTCAGCTTTGATTAATATTAAATGAACGGGTCACTGACCCCGTTTGATGATGTATTAACAAATGTATTACCTTGTTACTTTTTAAAAATTACGTTTTTTTGTATATCATAAAAAGTAAAATAACAAAAATACCGAACTCCAAGGAAAATTCAAAACGGAAAGTCCTTTATTAAAAAGCAAAATCAAAAGCTCATACGTATCAAACGAATGGAAAACAACTGTCATATTCCTGACTCCGTACAGCCATTTTTGCATGTGTAAAACATGATGGATTCAACCTGATTTTATAGCTAGCCAATCCTCTCACATGTATGACAGTAACTAGAACACACTGACGGTTACCAAAGAAAAAAGAAATATTCTCATTTTACATCATTAAACAAATATTTCCGAGTAGCACCATATCGATTCCTAAATAAAAAATAAATAAATCATGCACTGAGTATATAAAAAGGTTTAAGATATTTTTGACATCAGTTTTGAATTTATTTTACGCACATCCTTAACAATTGTTGAACTTTTTAAAGGATTTTCATTCAATAATATTTTATCAAGTATAACAGTTACAATTAATTTTTTTCAGTTTAGAGTTCAACTTGCCAAGGTTGTTTACAAAATTTTACCATAACCTGTGACATAGCCCGTTTATTGTCTTTTTAATCTTAATAGGAAATCATCTACTTACTTTTAATGCAGATTGTTTACAACGGTTACCATTATCAAATGTTGACAATTTGTTTCATAAGTTTGTATGATATTTCATCATGTTCGTTGAAATAATTTACAACTATTTTCATCATAGCAAATGGCAAACAATCAAATGGAAACGATATGGTACAAATGATAAAAGAAACTGATAATACTAGTGAATAATTCATCAGCGATGTTTCTTATCTTATTTTGACAAAAAAGAACCAAACTGGCTGCTAAAAGCGAGTTATAATTTCACTATTTAGCTTTCATTATTTCTTTTACAAGTTTCAGTTTTTTTTTGTATCTAATGTACCTTTAATGTCGATTATTCTTTAGCCTTAAAATATAATAGGAATATGTTTTACCGCATTTTAACACTTCAAGTCTGTCTATGCGCATTGCTTTTAAAAACATTTAAAAAAAACAGGTATAGTCACAAATAAAAAACAAACGATAAAGTGCACAGTTACAGGTTTAAGTTGACACACTAAACTGCAAACCATCACGTTGTTCACTCGTTCCATTGGTGGATAACGTTTGGTTTTATCAGTTTTTATGGACATACTCCTTTGAAAATGCCTTGGAGTTCGTTGATTTGCTATAATGTTATCTGTATCATGACATATTACATTGGAAACATTGTATGTACTCTAAATGATATTTCGAATTTTTTAGTATCCGCATTTTCACGCCACCTCTAGAATAGGCAGTTTCACAATAACAAGTTATACAACAGACAATAGACAGCCGTATGCGAATAGCAAACAATACGTAATAAAGCTTTGAGCAATATAAATCCAATTGAAACGGGGAATAATATCTCCGGAGAAAAACCAAAAACAAATGTTCCAAACTTTAAATTATCTAGCTTTTATTATCATTAAGAGACATTTATTGTCGAAATGGACATCTGGTCCGATTAGATTTGTACCATGCATTGATATTCCAACATCTGGATCGATATCACTGCATGTGGATTGATAGTCCCCGAAGGTATCACTTAAGACTTCGGCATTGGCATAACGATAATCTAACTGAGTAATTGAAATTTATTGTTTTAAATTTTTTTAGAAATCATTGAAGATTAAGGAGTGTCTTTCTCTAATAAGTAGCTATGGTTCCTTGTCTCATTAGCAATCATACCACACATTCTAATATTGACATGACTTACCTTTTGCAATATAAAGTAGAGAGATAATTGACAAGGTAGTGGTAAGACGCCACATATTTCAATATTTTAAAATATTATGATAAAACGTACATGTATATTGATATTTATATATACGGGATTAAACGACGCATATTTAATGTAAATAACATTTCGTGACATAATGCATTTAAATAGGAAATCAATGTTTCAAACAGTTTTAGTTAAATCGGCGTAGTTTTATTCAAAGGGCATACTGTTTCTACGAAACTTTTCCTTGTACATATAAAATCAACACATAAATGACGTTTTTATATTTAGTAGTGTTCAAAATAAACATATTTAATCACGAACAGATGTCCAACGTCTGAAGTTTGTACTCTACATAACGCGTGTCCATAGACATTGTTGGGAGAGCAAACGAAGTACATATATGACCATATGAGGAGTAAAACAGTATAACAAAAATACTGAACTGAAATACAAGGCAAATTAAAAAAAGAAGGAAGTCTAAAAACTGACAAAATTAAATGCTATTAATCAACACGCGGTACGGAACAAGTGGAAACAATTACAATATTCCTTACTTGGTACATGCATTTTCAGAATAAACAATTGGTGCGTTAAACCTTGTTTTGTAGCTAGCTAAACATCCCACTTGTATGACCGTTGATTAAAGCTCCGTTATAATGCTCATTTCAGTTAAGCAACTTAAACAAGAATAATTGGTTATCTTGACAATAATTTGGACCCAGCATCCAAATCGGTGTAAACATACATCTCAGACATACGACACAACTGACATAAAAATCCAATCGAACATAAAAATAAATCTGACAAAGACACAAACAAAACAAAGTTTTTGTAGTTAATAGTAAATACAGTACAGTAAAAGAAATGGACATATACTGTTTCCCCGACAAAGTAACTAACTTTCTGAGATGGAGTATGAAATATCATATATATGACGCGTAAAATCAAGTCTATAAAATCAAACACACACGCACAAATTAAGTTTCATCCACCAATTATGAAGTCTTAACACCCCCTAACATAATCCCATCCACTCAAAAGTGAAGACAAGAAATAAATGTGAAGTTTCAGCTAAAAAGATATGCACCGTTCAGTCTTAAAATAGTTTTTTTTTTTCGTCTTAAAATAACTAGTTTATTCCACATTCTTCTGTCGGCATATATCCCTTTTTACACTGATCTATAATTGTTATGTTGCCTTCTTGTAACCTTTTAGAAATAGTGTTAATGGAAGTGGTATATTTTGTTTTGGATAAATTATTCATGATGTGATAAAAAGGTTAAAAAAATCAGACTTAAGATAGGGAAAATGATATTAAAATGATGTTATTTATACTGTTAACAAAGACAACGGTAAGCGATTGACAACAATAACATTAAAGACCAGATATCTCCAAATTGTTGTCAGCCATTTTATTTCTGTTTTATATATATCAGTGCCCCTTTAGTTTAGCATTATATATTGCGATTGAGCACACATCTATCAGCGTCGTCAGCAGAAGACTTTTTGGAATAAGAAACAAATCTATATTTGTTGTCAAATCTTACTGAATTTTATTGAAAGACAATACATTCTCTTTGTTATTTTTTGCAAGTGACTTTCTCACCATTCACATACCATAAATCATGACATCCGCCACAAAATACTGGACTGAAAAATACAATACGTACTTGTTATTTTAATTTCACATGTGGAGCAGGATCTGCTAACTCTTCTGGAGCACATGGTAATACCCTCGGTTTTTGGTGGGGTTCTTGTTGCTCAGTCTTTAGTTTTCTGTTGTATTTTTGTGTGCTGTTGTTTGTCTTTCGCTCTTTTTTCTTTCTTTTTTGCCATCGGGTTGTCAGGTTATTTTTGACTTATGAGTTTGAATATTCCTTTGGTATCTTTCGCCTCTCTTTTGTTCATGTTTAATTCCAAATCCTTATTAGAGAATGTCTTAGACACTGTTGCTCAAAGTCAAATCGATATAAAACATGAATTGCAAGCTAGGCTAAATAAGCACAATATTCAGCAGATTTAAATTTCTACCGTTTCAGTCATTGAAGCATTACAAAAAATGAAAACACTAGTATGTTAAGTTAAATAAGTTAAATGTTACAAATTACAAACTTTGATAGAAGACTTATTCTCTATGAGCATGATAAACTTTTGTGCGATATTCACTAATATACATACAAATCGTAGTATATAGTGTTAGATTTATTTTGTCTGGCACATATTAAACCACGAAAATCCACGTACTATATTTTGGTTAATACTTAATAATGTAACCGTAAGATAATCTATTTGTAGAACGACATAAGGAAGTGTAGAAGATTTGTCTTGTCTATCCATCAGTCGTGATTACAATGTACAGTTGTCGCAATCTTACATGAATGAGAGTTTACATTTTTGATTCCATATAAATCTATTTTATTTTTAGAAAATGTGAGACAAATTAGTGTGTTTTGGAGGTAGTTTTACATGGTGTTTTTTGTTTACTACAAAAGTTAAATCATTATGTAAAAAAACAGTTTTTCACTTACCAACATTTAGCGTTGGGATGGCCTTTACAGCTTTTTTCATCACATGGATCTCTTATACACGGCGCTGGAAATACTCCTGGTAAACAATCACTGCCACCTGGACATCGGAATTCTACAGGACAGACATTAGCGACTGATTATTAATTATTATTTAAACCCATTTATATTATAATGAGAATATTTAATCCTTAAGTTATGATATATTTGATTGTATAAACTTCTATGTTTTGATTACGGCTTCCATGAATTAAATATGTTTTCTATTGTTTTATTATCTGAACTTTTAACACAGACACTTTTGCATTTGATACCCCATATCCTTTCCTTTTCTATATGTAGAAATTATTGTACAGTTACCTTTCCCTGTCCATATATATTACATTAAAATTGGTTTTCCTGACGACTCACTATGCGTATTCAAAATTTGTTTTCTCACGATTTACAATTACAACAAATACTTACCACATTTTTTTGTTACATCACTACCACCGTTTGTATACCATAGCCTATTACAACCACCGCAGTAATTTTGCCTTGAACATAAACATTTACACGTATGTATTAACAGATACTGATTAAGGGATATACATGTACATTTTAAAATGTCCACCAAATATCTGAACCTTTTAATATTTAGTTGTTACCAATAATGTCTAGTACATCTCACATAATGTCGTTATCACATTATACAAAAGTTCATAAGATAAGTAAAACAGTCATATTATATAATAGTAAAAGCATGAACATCGTATAGTGATATGTAAACATAATGTTAGGATAGTTGAACGCTATATAATGTCAAGCACACATCATGCAAATCATTTCTTTTTCAATTAAACTGATCGAACGATTATGTCTTCAACATACGAAAATCAACCTTAATCCCTTCCGTTAGGTGTATATTATCATTCCTTCATAAATTATAAGTAACGACCATAACCCTTGTCATGCCAATTGTAAGAAAGAGGTCTTATTGGCGTACATCCTGCTTCGCCTGAAGGTGTCAGACCACCATTTCAAAACAATTATATATTCATCCAAATTTTGCAATTTTCAAAGCTTTCAAAATATTTCACCTCCATAGAAGCCAGGCATATTCTTACTTGTACATGTATCACCTTTCTACATGCCAATTTTTAACTAATGTCTAAAGTATTGTAGTGAAATGCTACCGTCTGGGAGCTAACTACTACTAAACCTAACCCCTAATTTTATGGAAACCTTAAATAAGTATACTGTGGAGCGCATTATTCCTCAATTTTTAAAGCAAACTTATCAGGCTCATAGACAAGTAAATTTTGGCTAAAAAATGGTCAATATTTTTATATTTTTCTTTCACCAACAGTTTCATTCTGCAAATTCATTTGTTAGTTGAAATAAACAATGACATCAAAAGCACAATTTTTTGTCAAGGAAGGGCTACTTTTACGTTTTTATGTTCTAACTTGAAGTGGGTGAATTGGTGGACTGACACCTAAAATTCATACCTTAAAATGCACGAACGGGAAATTTTGTAATTTGTCTCACTTTTTTCGACTATATGTTTTATAATTTTAAATGAAGGCGTCATACAGAACAATTCTCATCTAGTTTTATGTGAATGAAAATTAAAAATGTACATCAATATAATAGTAATAAATTAATTTGTTTGTACATTTAGTTTTAAAGTAAATTGATTTATATATAATAAAGCAAACTACTATACTATAATATTTATTGATCTTAGATTAAACAAATTTAGTCCATGCTCATGGATATCTTTTTCAGTTATTTTGTCTAATTTCAGAAATTACATTTAATTTATATTTGTTGGTCATATTGAATTTAACCAAAAAAAACCATAAAACTAGAGACGATTAATACAAGTGCACGCATATCGTCTTGTCGTTAAGGTGCATGTAAAAGATACTTTTTTTTATTATTATAAAAAAATAGAATTGAAAATACACTTAATAAATCGAGTCTAAAGCGCTTTCGGTTTGTAGTAATTGATCCAATTGGATTTCTTCTCTTATGTTTCGAATCTGTGTTAATATAATTAATATTACCTGCATTTAGCACCCTTGCAATTCTGTCCTCGGCATGGATTTACAAAGCACTTAACCTTCTTGATTCCATTAGGGCATGTCTTGCAACCTTGAAATAAGTCAAGTTAAATATTTCTATGAAAGAAGAATAATTAAGTAGTTAATTATGAATACACACGCTCAAAATATTAAATCAACTTTATTTTGCGAGTATCTGGGTTTGCTTATCAAATGTACACGCTTTCTGGTAAATCAGCTTAAGGTACCAGTCTTGTATTACAACTCCAGTTTCCGGTGCATGTCAAAATATGAAGGTAAATAAAATAGTCAATTTTTTTCTGAATTACTTTCTGGACTCAATATTTTCTGTTTGATTAAAAGTTTATGCTGAATTGAAACATATATATAGATTTTTAAAAATCTTGCATCTTTTTGGGGATATCAATCCAAGAAAGTGGAAGGATATCATGTTTACTAGAAGTGATGCGGCCTAGTAAAAACAGCAAAAAGAAAGTAGAAAAAAATTGTTTTGACTTAAGGGTTACGTAACTTTTTATTCTTCGTGGCATGACCCACTTTTTTTTCGATTAAATCACAATTTCACATTAGTACATACATGATATGAGCATGAAAATTTTTTTCTATGTAGCATTTTTTATTTATTATTTTCAAAGATCAGCTGTTTTGCATGTAAGCCTATGGAGCAGTCAATTACAAAACTGCAACCGTAAGCTGCAAAATTTGAAATTACACTCCAAAATAGTAAAGCAGGTTTTATTTATTGATCTTAGATTAAACAAATTTAGTTCATGCTCATGGATGTCTTTTAAAGTTTTTTGTCTAATTTCAGAAATTACATTTAATTTATATTTGTTGGTCATATTGAATTCAACCAAAAAACATAAAACAGGATCTCAACATTGACGACTTCAAGTCTAAATCTCCTGATTGCACCTGTGCTAGTTCCCAATTCACATATAATCCGGCTGGCCACGTTATTACCGGAGACGTTTGTCAATATTGTCAATAACACTTCCCTGCGAAATTTGTTATCCAAAGGTCCGAAATATCGTGAGCCTAAATCCATCAATTGGAAATACAACTTCAAAATACTGATGGTTTCAGTCGAGGATTATGCCATGCAATGGGCTAAACGCGAGAAAGAAGACGTAGATACTCTTTCCGAATGGATTAAGGCTGTGAGGTCGTTGATACAAATCCGAATTAAGAAACTAAATGGGCATATCAATACCCACGCTACGTCAATTTTTAAAGACCCAAATGTTGCAAAACACTTGTCCTATCTCTATGACAAATATGTTGTTGTCCCCGTAGATAAAGCCCCAAACAACATCGTTTTTGTGTGTAAATATCATTACATAGACTGCTTGATAAATGAATTAGGTATTGACAATTCACTTGGAAACTCAACATATACCCTCACGATACTTACCAAAGAGGAAATCCTGGATAATCATAGGTCTGTTCTATGTTCCTTTGGAATTTCAACCAAAGATGAAGAACTGGATCTTCCATCACTGTATTGCATATCTAAACTACATAAGTGTCCTTACAAACAACGGTATATTGCTCGGTCTTCCAAGTGCTCCACGAAACCTCTTTCTAAATTATTAACATCTATTTTATCAGCAATCCAAGCCGGGCTCCAAAGTTATTGTGAAACTGCCTATTCTAGAGGTGGCGTGATTCAGATGTGGATACTAAAAAATTCCAAATATCTTTTAGAGTACATACAATCTAAGACTCTCTCATCTTTCAATAGTATTAAAACATTCGACTTTTCTACACTTTACACAAGTATTCCCCATTCCAAACTAAAAGACAAAATGAAAGAGTTTGTATTACTTTGTTTCATTAAAAAGAATGGCGAACGTAGATACAGGTATCTTGTTTTGGGGAGGGATAAATCCTACTTTGTAAAGAATCACTCTGATTCAAACACAAAATTCTCTGAAACTGACATTGTCAAGATGCTTGATTTCTTGATTGACAACATATTTGTTACGTTTGGAGGAAGTGTTTTTCAACAGACTGTCGGAATTCCAATGGGAACTAATTGTGCCCCTCTTCTTGCCGACTTGTTTCTTTATTATTATGAGGCTGACTTCATACAGGAACTTCTTAGGAAGAAAGATAAGAAGTTAGCAATATCCTTTAACTCTACGTTTCGCTTTATAGATGATGTTCTCTCACTAAATAATACAAAATTTGGTGACTATGTTGAACGAATCTATCCCATCGAACTAGAGATAAAGGATACTACAGATACAGTTAAGTCTGCCTCATATCTTGACTTACATCTAGAAATTGACAATGAGGGTCGGTTGAAAACAAAACTTTACGACAAAAGAGATGATTTCAGCTTCCCAATTGTGAACTTTCCATTTCTATGTAGCAACATTCCAGCAGCGCCTGCATACGGAGTATACATCTCCCATTTGATACGATATTCCCGGGCTTGTGTTTCCTATCATGATTTCCTTGATAGAGGATTGCTGCTCACAAGGAAGCTATTCAACCAAGAGTTCCAAATGGTCAAGTTGAAGTCATCCCTTCGTAAATTTTACGGACGCCATCACGAGTTGGTTGACCGTTATGGAATAACCGTTTAACAGATGATATCGGATATGTTCCTCATGTCATAACTACAATACCCTCCCTTTTCACGAATGTGATCTACCGAATTAGACTATTTACCGGATTTGTAATAACATAAGCAACACGACGGGTGCCACATGTAGAGCAGGATCTGCTTACCCTTCCGGAGCACCTGAGATCACCCCCGGTTTTTGGTGGGGTTCGTGTTGCTTGGTCTTTGGTTTTCTGTGTTGTGCCATCTGTACTATTATTTGTCTGTTTGTCTTTTTGTTTTTGGCCATGGCGTTGTCAGTTTGTTTTTGATCTGTGAGTTTGACTGTCCCTCTGGTATCTTTCGTCCCTCTTTTATAACCAGTGGGTCGATGTCTCTGCTGGTGGACATTTTTTCCCCGAGGACATCATCCGCCCAGTAGCAAAATTGCATGAATTTACGAAGATCTAACAGGATACTGGCTCGAACGTCGCCCAGTATAAAAAGGTCCGAAACAGACGTCACCATGGACACGGTGTCGTTTGATAAGGCAGGTGTCCCCTCATCACCAGACATGACAAATATCACAAACATGACTCATTCAGATCATCATACTAGTGACAATAGCAATAGTACACATACACAGCCTTGTTCAGTTCTCCTTAAAGACATTTTGGATTTTGATAACTCTGAACAACACTGTCTCATTTCGAAATGTGGAACTAATGGCTGCAAAACTTGTGAAATTTTAATAACAGACGCTCAATTCACTAGCAATTTAACCAAAAAGTCTTACTTTACTAGAAGTTACAATGATCTGAATTGTAAATCTATAAATGTCGTCTACGGATTAGAGTGTAACCTTTGTGGATTGGTTTACGTCGGTGAAACGAAAGGAAGGCTAAACAAACGTATGTG